ATCTCCCAGGTACTGGGGTTAAAGGTATGTGCCACCATGCCCAGGGAGAATCCTTTAAAGAATCCTGTTTTGGTCCATAGCTGTAACAGTTATATGTCTTTTACATTATTATTTATGGGTCAAAGAGATGGCTCAACAGGTAAAGGCACATGCTGCCAAACCCAACAAGCTGACCAGTCCCTAGGACCCACATGATAGGAGAGAATTACTATAACCTGAAGTGACTCTGACTGCCATATGTTCCATGGCACACATGTGCACACATCAAAATGCACACTAATAAAAGTTTAATATACTATTTAGTGTGCATTTTGTGTGTACTTGCACATACAAGCATTCCTGTGGATATTTTCCTTCAAGGCCTGTGTACTCTTCCCTGCCCCAATCTTGCTATGATCTTTATCTTTGAAGTTAGAGGTTTTACTCAGAATTATAAATCTTGCTCATGTATTCCTTATAGGTTTTCTTGAGAGGCTTTTCTGTGTAACCCTGGCTGTTCTGGAACTCCCTCTACAGACCAGGCTAGTCTCGAACCCTCAGATATCTGCCTGCCTCTGCCTCTCAAGTGCTGGGATTAGAGGCCTGCACCACCACTGCCCAGCTTGCTCATCTATTCTTACTGAAATGTGTGAGGAAGGACTTTTCCAGTACCTACCCAAGGCACTTGCCATCCTGTGCTAGGACCTTTCATTTTGCCCAAGTTGCCTTGTTTGTTGCCCTTTCTTCTGCCAGGCTAAGTCTGCACTTTGTCCTCTCAGACTGCAAGCCTCCCTGAAGTTCATCTTGAATTCCCCAGCAAAACACTGAACTTTTATAAAATCGTATTTCCTGTATGTTAGTGCCTATGTGGATATTTCTATTTGTTACATGGACTGAAAATCTGGCTTTGTATGGTGCTTTGTACCCCATTGATGCTAAGTAAAGATTTCTTACTGGCACCCGGGTCTAGGATCATTAATTTTGTTTCGTTTAAAGATACTACTGCATAGGCCAAGGAGTGTGGTAGAATTTTCAGAAAAATAGATGAGTTGTTTCTTAAGCTAAAAACAGGAAGAGTAGGGGTTCCTGGTGTTGTTTTTCTTAAGCTGTTTGATGGCTATTTGGGCTATTGTCAACTTGACACACCTGGGAAGAGAGAACTTCAAGGAATTTCCTCCATCAGATTGGCCTATTGGCATTCTCCTGAACACTAGTTGATGGAGGAGGGCACAGGCCACTGTGTCAGCACCACCACAGGGCAGGTGGTTGTGGGTCATACTGCAAAGCAGGCTAGAGAGCCAAGGGAGGCAAGCCACAAAGTACTGCTGCCCCTGCTTTCTCCTGCTTCCCTGTACGACTCTAACCTAGTCATCAGATACACCCTTTCCTCCCCCATGTTGTCTTGAGACATGGTGTTTATCACATCAGCGGAGAAACCAAATGAGAACACCATTTAAGATACTATTCAGAGTTGGAAACTCTCCAAGCCTACTGCCCCACTTTGCACCTCCTCCCAGCCTGCTGCTTGCTGTCACCACCCAGACTTAGAGAAACGAAACTACAAACTATCAGTGGTGCACCCGGGAGTGCAGCCGCACGGTCATGGCTCAAGAGACACCGCCACCACCACCACCACCGGCTGGTGACCTGGTCCCTGCTGGTGAGTATCAATAGTGGCCAGCCAGAAGGGGCCACATTCCACTTCCCCCTCCCCCAGCTCTGGGACCTGGGTTACCAGAGAGCCTGCAGGACACTGCTAAGGGCAGACCTGGGCTTACAGCAGTTGGGAAACCTGTTGGCACTGGCGACGGCAGGAAGCTGAAATCTTTAGGTTGGCTGCTTAAGTCCTCTTGGGTCCTTGCTTCACAGGTTTGGGAGCTCTTCACTTTAAAATTAATGTTCCAGACATGCTGTTGGGAAGGGAGGTTAGACTTTATTAAGGAACCCGGAGAGGAGAACCAGTCTGGGACAATTGGGGAATACTGAGGAGCAGTATTTCTGAGAAGCTTGAGTTGTGCAGACTAATGTTTCAGAGTCACCCATAGTGACAATCTCCTTGTGATGGTATCCTCTTATCTTGAGGGCATGGCGATCCAGGTTTTTGTCAGTTTTATTATCCAAGGATTCCCAGAATCATCTTAGAAAACCATGAAGTCAGGAATGTAAAGGAAATCCCCTTCTGGGACCGGAAACAGAAATATGCACAGAGGACATCAGGAATAAAACAAAAGCTGGTGCTGACAGGCTATTACAACCCCCTTTGTCTCTCCAGTAGGAATCTGACCCAGAGGTTAAAAGCAGCTAAAAATAGGGAGGCACTGATGCCAAGCCTTTTTAACCCTTCAACCACTCATCAGTGACTGCAGTGATTGCTGGCCCAAGCGAAGTCAGCATTTTCAGCAAAAGCAGCCTTCCATCCCTGAAACTTAACCCAGGCAAGCATTATCCTAACTCGCTCAGTAGATGTCTACAACTAATCTGGTGACTGATTTATTACAACTGGTGATCACCCACCACTAGCAGTTTTTAGGACTTATTTTAGAGGCATGAATGCCTTGCTTGGATGTATGTCTGTGAACCACATGTGTATTTGATGCCTGTGTTGTTTAGAAGAAGGCAGCAGAGGACTCCCCCTGGAATTGGAGTTAGAGATGGTTCTGCATCACCATGTAGGTGCCGGGAACTGAGCCTAGGTATTCTGCAACAGCAACAAGAGCTCTTGTCTACTGAGCCCGTTATGTATGTATGTATGTATGTATGTATGTATGTATGATATGTATGTATTTGTGTGTGCATATGGCATGTATGTGGAGATTCTGGAGCTGAAGTTGTATTTGTAAGCCTCCCCAGCATAAGCACTGAAAACCAACTTGGGTCCTCCAGAAGAACAGCAAGCACTCTATCTCTCTAGCCTCGATCCTGCTTTTTCAAGTCAAGAATCAGTCATAGGTAGACAACCTGAAAAGTTGTTCTAGGCAGAAAGGATGTCACAAATCAGAGTAACAATCTCCAAAACCACTAGCCAGGTGGTCAACTATTTCATTTAGCTAATCTGTGTGTGGACTGCAGGGTGAGGGGCAGGAGAGAAGAGGCCCTAGGCCACTTCCTATGCTTTGTATCTGCAAACCCAAAATGAGTTTGTCTTCAAAAGAACTATTGTTCTGATTTTTTAAGCTTAAAAGTGGACTGGAGAGATGGCTATAGAGCCAAGATCACTGGCTGATCTTGAAAAGGACCTTGGTTCAATTCCCAGCACCCACACAATGGCTCACAACACCTTTAACTCCTGTTCCAGGGGATCCTATGTCCTCCCTCTTCTGGCCTCCATAGACACCAGGCACTCACGTAGTGCACACATGCAGGCAAATCATTCATACAGATAATTTCTAATAAAAAGTTAAGTTAATGTTGGTGGGAGGTCAGTAGAACAAAATAGAAGCCACAGGACCAGAAACAATCATGGCTAACCATTATGAAAATGAATTATTAAGTTCATCTTGTACTTTAAAATGAATTCCATATTAATATTATAAAACAAGAGTCAACTATTTTCTAAATATATCATCCTTACCTAAGAGTAGAAACCATAGTATTAAATTTATTACATAAAGCATGTAGACTATCAGAAACTCACTGTGTAGACCAAGCTAGCCTCAAACTCACAGATCCGCCTACATCTACCTCCCAAGTAGCATTCAGACTTTTAAAATATTAATTATGTATGTGTATAGTACATGCACATGTCTGTGTAGGTGATCACTGGTGTGCTTGCAGAGGCCAGGGAAGGATGCCAGGTGTCCTGCTGTAAGTGACGATATTCTGAACATGTGACAAGCTCTTATAAATCTGTAAGAATATAATAGTTCAGTAGAAAACAATGGACTGAGACATTGCTTCTAGGGAAGAAATGCAAATAGCACTATGTCGGCCATTGAATTTACAAATGTGGGGTATGATTCATTTTTGCCTATACTGTGTGTTCTTTAACTTGTTCATTTAACCATCTGACCAAGCAGGTATCATACCCTATTTCGTTTCTCCAAGCCTCCCTCACTATCTATTCCCAGGTAGTCTTTTCTAATAATTGCTTTTTTCCAAATTCTTTAATTTGGGGATTTGGGTAGAAATTACATTAAGCCTAAAATCTTCTTGGGGGGGAGTGGGATAGAATTGCTGAATCTAGCTCTGATCCAGACCCAGGTGATCTGCTGTGTCTATTGGGATCTTTATCTTGCTTCTCTCTTGCTTTGTGTTTGTCTAATCTTCCTTTGCTCTTTTCTCCATCTAGACTAGTTTACTATGTCCAATTTGTGATGAACATATACTCGTGTGTGAGTGCGTGTGTGAGTGCGTGCGTGCGTGCGTGTGTGTGTATGTGTGTGTGTGTGTGTGTGTGTGTGTGTGTGTGTGGCCACTCACTGGAGCATGGTGGACCTATCAGGGGCCACACCAGAAAAGAAAACTGACACTCCCTCCCCCACAAACCATCAACTGGGCAACAGCTCCTCACTTAGGGGTGGATGCTTGTGAACCCTCCCACCACCATGCCAGGTAGAATTTTGACTGCTTTGATCGTGTACAGGCAGCCACAGCTGTACCCACAGCTGTATCCACAGCTGCTTTGAGTTTATGGTAACACCATTTTCTGTTGGAAATACTGGTATAGAACACTGAACAGAGTCTGTACCACACAAGAAATGCTTTTTCCGACTTACATTGCTGATTTAGTTGTTGTCCCAGGAGTTAACACTTTACCATAAAAATAGGGCCTTGACTCCTTCTTAAGACTGGAGGACCTAGCAAGGTCATAAATGCTGGTTTTTTTTTCAAGATAGGGTTTCTCTGTGTAGCTTTGGAGCCTGTCCTGGAACTCGATTTGTAGATCAGGCTGGCCTCAAACTCACAGAGATCTACCTGCTTCTGCCTCCGGGAGCACTGGGATTAAAGGTGTGCACGCCCTCCCAGCATTTTTCATCTTTTAACCTGGATGTTATTTACAGGGGCCTATCAAAAGGATAAAGAAAAGATGGAAAAAAGGGTATGTGCCCTCTGCCCCAAAGGCCAAGATTGGAGTGTGATATACTTTGCACCATCAGAGAATATAGCTGCTCATGAAAATTGTTTGGTAAGTTACTTGAAAATAAATATCTTTAAAACTACATGTGTAGGGCTGGAGAGACGGCTCTTCCAGAGGACCCGGGTTCCATTCCAGGACCCACATGGTAGCTCATTACCACCCGTAACCCAAGTTCCAGGGTATGTGATGCCCTCATCTGGCCTCTGAGGGCATCAGGCACATATGTGGTAATAGACATACATGCAGCCAAAATGCCCATACATACAAAATAAAGACTGAAAAGCAAAACATGACACCTACATGAGTACTTTCACCTTGAAGACACTCTACCCACTGAGTCATCTCCCAGCCTCCAATTTTATGATTTCTTATTCTTTTTTGTTTTATTGAGTTTTTGCGGAGCAGTCTATCATAGTGATGATTAGGAGCAGTTAACAGAGGGAGCCCTGTCTTGGTTCTATCAGGAGTATAGTTTTTAAAGTCTTGTCTAAATTTGCATATGCTTTAGACTTTTAATATTTCTACAAAGATGTTATCTTTTACTTGTTTTGGTTAAAATTAACATATTTAATGTTAAAAATTGTTTTCTATCCATTTGTTGAGATGTCTTATAAGTTTACTTTTTAATCTTCTGGCAATAGCAGGGTTGGATGCTTTATTTTAGATTTGCTTGTTTTGCCGTTTTGTGTGTGTGTGTGTGTGTGTGTGTGTGTGTGTGTGTATTTTGAGACAGGACTTCCTGGCTAGTCTGGATCTCGATATGTACACCAGACTGCCCTTAAACTCACCAGAGATCCATCTGCCTCTGCCTCCTGAATGTACGGCACTCTTTCTTACCCTGTTGCCTTAAAAATTATAGCAGACAACATTTCCATAGCATTTACATTGTATTATTCCAGAAATGATTTAAGCATATAAAAGGGCAGGCACAAGTTGTCTTAGTTAGGGTTTCTGTTTTTGTAACAAAACACCATGACCAAAACAGTGAGGAAAGGTTTTTTGTTTTTTCTGGCTTACACTACCATCTCATTTATCATCAAAGGAAGCAGGGACAGGAACTTCAATGGGGCAGGCAATCCAGAGGCAGGGGCTGATACAGAGGCTATGGAGGGATGTTGCTTACTATCTTGCTCCCATGGCTTGCTCAGCCTGCTTTCTTTTAGAACCCAGGATCACCAGCCTAGGGATGGCCCCACCTACAATGGGCTGGACCCTCCCTTATAAATCACTAATTAAGAAAATGCCCTACAGTCAGATCCTTTTTTTAAAAAGATTCATTTATTTATTATGACTACAACGTTCTGCCTCCATGTCTGTCTGCATGCCAGAAGAGGACACCAGATATTATTATAGACGGTTGTGAGCCACCATGTGGTTGCTGGGAATTGAACTCAGGACCTCTAGAAGAGCAGTAAGTGCTCTTAACCTCTGGGCCATCTCTCCAGCCCCAGTCAGATTTTTTATGGAGGTGTTTTCTCAATTGAGGTTTCTTCCTTTCAGATAACTCTAGCTTCAGCCAGTTGTGAGCTGCCCAAAGTGGGTGCCAGGAGCTGAATGTGGGTCCTCTGAACACTGCAAGAGCAATGCACATTCTTAAGCACTGAGCCATCTCTCCATTCCCTAAAATACTGAGGAGGAGAGAAACTTGTGCCAGCTAAAACATACACAGAGGTTTGTGCCTAGCTGTGGTACCCCATACCCACATTTGCAGTGCTCAGAAGGCTCAGGAAAGAGGCCAAGGTCCAGGTAAAAGCTAAGTGTAGTAGTGTACGCCTTTAAACCCAACACTCAGATGGCAGACAGGTGGACCCCTGTAAGTGCGTTCCAAGTCAGCCAGGTTACAGTGAGATCCTGTCTCAGCAACAACAAAAGTGAAGGGTTGTGGAGGCAGGCATGGTCCTTGAAGTTTGAGAAGTGAGCCCTGGAAAGCCATCAGGAATGGCCTCTTGTCCTTGCTTGTACTACTCTGACTGCATGACCTCAGGCATTGCTGAGCCTGTGGCACCTTCCTGGGCTAGGGAAAGAGTAGTGTAGGAGCCACTGTCAGTGATTCAGAGTCAGTGGAGATCAGTTACAGAGCACAAACCCTGTCTGGAGACTGTGATGACTCAGAGAAGCCAGATGGCTTGTGTCTGTTCCTATACCCTCACAGTGCTAATACCCGGGACCATCGTTCACTCTACACTTCCTGTAAGTCCTTTAAGTAACCTCTCTGACTTGTATCACTCAGGATACTTCATGCTAACTCTGGATTTTTTCCCAACCTGCAGCTGTATTCATCAGCACTGGTGGAGTGTGAGGACCATGATCACCTTAATAAAGCTAGGAATTTTGATGTAAAATCAGTAAAGAAAGAGATCTGGAGAGGAAGAAGACTGGTAAGTTGACATGTTTTTATTACTCATGCAGGATGAGTCCTGGGGGCTACAGTCAAAGGAGTCCATGGGGCGGGGCTAGAGAGAGATGGTTCAATTTAGCAGTCAAGAATGCTGGCTGATCTTCCAAAGGACCCGAGTTGGGTCCACAGCAACAAAATGGCCACTCACAACTAACTGCTTGTCACCCCAGTTCCGGGGCATCTGACAACCTCTGCTGGCTTCCACAGGCACCTGCACTAACATATTCATTCATTCAGTCACACATACACAGAAGTAAAAATAAAACTTTTCACTAAAAAAATGTCTGTTGATAAACTAAGGTTAGAGTCTTCATTCAGTGGCTGATGGAAGCAGAGGCAGACTCCCACGGCTAAGCACTGAGCTGAACTCAAGAAAGCCAGTAACAGGGAGGACTGATGACCAAAGGGATTAAGACTGGGCTGGCTTAACCCCCAGAAACAACTGACCTGACAAGGGTTAGCTCTTGAATCCCAGACTGATGGCTGGGAATCCAGCATGGGACTGATCAAGATCCCCTGAATGTGGGTGTCAGTGAGGAGGCCTGGGTAATCTATTGAGCCTTGGGTAGTAGATCACCCTGAACTCTCAGGGGAGGGTCTAGGCCCTGCCCTGGATGAAATGACAGACTATGGACACCCCCATGGAGGGCCTCATCCTCCCTGGGGAAATGAGGGGATATTGGGGGGGTTGGTAGGAGGGCGCTGGAGGAGGGGAGGGAAAGGGAGAGGGACCTGGAATTGACTTGTGAAGCAACCTTGTTTCTAATTTAAATTTAAAAATAAAATACATTTAAAAAAAGTAAGGTTAGAGTAATATCCTGAAGAGCTCGAAGTAGGACTATGAGCAAGTGAGACTCAGCTAAGCACTATCTAATTACAACAGTCTATCCTACACGTAAGTGAAGTAGGCTTACAATGTTTCTGTCAGAGAGAAAACACTCCAATCAGACAGGCTTTAATAAGGCCCTTACTGTCATTTCACCAGAGCAAACAGCAATTTCAGCACCTCAACAGCACCATCTAGGTGCAGGCAGCAGAGCTCAGGGCTTTATCCTTCCCTGGGAGTACGATACCTTCTAACTGTCTACTGTGGCTACATGTCTTTCTTATCACTGGTCAGCATCTGCCTTGGAGCTGTGGTCATAAGGAGCCTCTGCAGCAAAGGATAGTTCAGACGGTATCCTCCTAGGTCCACTGGGTCTCTAGGCTTCCTTTGTAAAAGGCCATTTGCAGATTAATTAAACAGGATAACAAGTCTTAGTACCTCATGGCTGACCACAACCACAGTAAAGGGTTAATGACTAGGGACACCCAGGTATGTAGGTGCTCTTTGTAAAGTTTCAGGATCTGTACCAGCAGCCTTTATGTAAACTCTCCTTCCAATTACAAAGTGGCAGGACAACCTCAACCGAAACATCATTTTTATCATTATTTGCTAATTGGATTGGAGGGAATTCAAGGATAGAATTAAGGAAAGCTACCATTAGATTCTAGAGCAGTGGTTCTAAACCTGTGGGTCATGAGCATCAGAAAACACCTATTTCTGATAGCCTTAGGAGCCACCAACCATAAACTTACTTTTGTTGCTACATCATAACTATGATTTTGTTGCTGAGCAATGTCTCAGTCCCTAAGACCATCTGAACAAGTTGAGAACCAATGTTCTAGAGGTTGCCCACATACATACAAACAGCCAACTGCAGAATGAAAGCAGTTGAGTACAGTGCAATATTGAGAAAGAGGTCGTTACACCTGAGAGTGTTCATAGACTTTCCTCTTGGGAGAACTCTGATTCACTGAACTGAAGGATAACAGTGAAAGGAATGCAAAGCAAATCATATGAGGTGATGGCTACCCACCCACTGACAAGTGTTTCTGGAACCTTGGTATCTGGACAATTGCTCAGCGTGTACCTCATGGGGGAGAGCCGTGTACATACTTTGGGAGGGATCAGTAGAACCCTCATACAAGGCTTCTCCTGAAGCAGGGCCTCTGAACCCTTTCCAAGGGTGGAAAAAAAAGATAAAGAATTCCCAAGGGAACTATCTTAGGGTTATTATTGCTGTGATGAAACACCATGACCAAAGAAAATTGAACCAACAGCCAGGGATGGCCCCGCCCACAATGGGCTGGCCTTCCCTGCAGCAATCACTAATTAAGAAAATGCCCAAGAGGCTTGCCCGCAGCCCGACATTCTGGAGGTCCCCTTCTCTCAGATGACTGTAGCTTGGGTCAAGGTGACACAAAACTAGGCAGCACAGGGACCAATGTGCGAAGGTGTTAAATGCCGGAAGGGGCAGGGCACCCTGGGTCACTGTCAGCCTGTCATGCCACTGTAGATACTTTCTACCAAACTCCTCCCTCCTACACGGTGAGGTCCTCACTAACACAGTAACAAGCGTATGCCAATGCCTCACTCTCACAGGCAGTGCCGAGACACACAGCTGCCTAACCTACTTGAGTACTTCTCAGGGTATACCCTGAGAATTCAGAAGTCCATCTTAGAACGCTGACCTGTGTTGACAGACTGTCTCTGGGAAAGGCCACGCCCATTTAAGCTTCTGTGTGTGGTGGACAGTTACTGCAGAGAAGGAAGCCTGGCCTTGTATCCCCATGATCCCTGGGGAAACGAGCCATTGTTTCTCTCCTCTTCCCATGGCAGCTGTAGCCGTTCCTCAGGAAGCCCTCTGCAGTCTGTGGTCCCCCATCAGCCACAGCCCGCCAGCACGACCACCTCTTCCTCACTCAGCATGACTAACTTAGCTCTCTGCTGTCTACTGTCTGAGTAGCACCAGCTGCAGGAAAATCCCCACTGCACTGACACCCAAGTCTCAGCTACAAACCGCAGCATGGCCTTGGCCACTTCCTGTTTTTCCCTCCACACTCTGAAGCTCATCTCTGAAACCTCTCCCTACCCAATGGCAGGCTGTAGACTGTTCTTATTGACTCCTTATCAGTACTCATTAGTCACCCACTCACCACACCCCACATCCGCAAGTGTCTTAGTTCTTCTGAGAAAACAGACATGCCCTGTCCGTCACTTCTTCCCACAGAGCCTGCCATTTTCTACTCCTCTGCTCAGAGGGAGAGATGTGGAATACCTAACCCTGCGCTGGACTCCTGCCTGGGTCTGAACATGACCTAGTCACATTTAGTGTGGGTATGGAGTCTGGGATATACCAGTCATAACCAGGATAAAAATGCAGGGCTGCTGACTTAAATGACATGCTGTCAAAGAAGCAGGCACTTACCCAGTATGACCTATTCGCCTATAGAGATGCACATTTTGTAATGAAGGAGGAGCCACCGTGGGATGCGATGAAAGATCCTGTGCCAAGAATTACCACTTTTTCTGTGCCAAGAAGGACAACGCAATTCTCCAAGTTGATGGAGCTAAAGGAACTTATAAGTAATTAAGCAGCTTAAACTCTGCAGTGGAGGGGTGGGTGGGTAAGGACAGGTAAATGGTGACACACTTCTAAAGCTTAGTTTATGCAAGTGGCTTTCACCGGGGAACAGGATTTGTGGGACACCCACCAGGAACTCCGCTTCATAACATTACTGCATAGACTGGAAAAGAACTACTCGGGGTTCTGTCTGACTCTCTAACACTCCGTCTTCCTGCGGGAGAGCCTCATTTGCAGGCAGCCTACCCTCCTAAACAGTCACCAGGAGACAGGAGACAGTTCAAGTCTGCTCTTCTGCAGTAGGAAGAGAGCTCCCTTCTCTTCACCCCACAGGCCCAGGGGGCTACACTCTGGGAACACTCTACACCTGTTGGGAACAAGTTCTCTTCTACCAGTGTTGGACCCAGATACAGCACTGGGGTTCAGACCTGATGCCACCACCTTTACCCGCCCCCTCCAGTTTATCAGTTTGAAAATTCCATTCAGTTTTACATTGCACTTTTAATATTTGATTTGCTGCGAAGATTATATGCAGTTATATTTTTTGGAATTTCACTTTTATTATTTATTTTCACAAAGAACTCACTTTATTATTATAGTAGTCTTTAAACACATAATCAAATAAAAGAAACTGAAGTCCCCGCTATATCTATTTTTTTGTTTTTGAGACAGCATCTCGCTAAGTAGACCAGGCTACCTTGAACTCCTGGAAATACCTTAAAAGTTTGTTGTTGGTTTTTTTTTTTTTTTGGTTTTTTCGAGACAGGGTTTCTCTGCATTGTTTTGGAGGCTGTCCTGGAACTCGCTCGGTAGACCAGGGTGGCCTCGAACTCACAGAGTAACACAGTTGAAAAAAAAAAAAAACAACTTTTTAATTGTTTCCATAAGGAACAGGCAGATTTCTCTTCAGTTTAAATTTTAATTTAAACATTGAGGTGCATAGAATACGTGAGACACCTCACAAGGGACTAAGGTACACGAAGAGAGAATGAACCTAAGAGAAGGTGTCACAGGTTAGGGGAGGGGTGCAGAAAGGCAACTGTGAACACTGGCTCATGGGAGGGGCTGAGGCGGGAGAGAGGGGCAGGCACCTGGCGGGGTGGGGGCTGGGGGGGCTATCCTAATAGCTCCTATTACTTTTATGCATTTTTGAAAAAACATATAGGCAAACATGGTAGTACATGTTTAAAACCAAAGCAGGAGAGGTGGGGGGAGGCACAAATTTAAAGCCAGTTTGAAACCAGATGAAAAGTACTCAGAGGTACCAGGTCTAAAGGAGATAACTCTGAGCTTCTGGGGAGGCCTGCATAGTGGTATGCACCTTTAATCCCAGCACTGGAGAGGCAGAGGCAGGTGGATCTCTACAAATTAAAAGATTTGGCAATTCTTTGAAATTCTGTATTTTCAGATTATTTTGCCAACAACATGCTCCAGAACAACCAGGGACCAGTCAAAGTGGTAAGTTTCTAAAGTGGGTTTAAGGAAAGTTAATTATTTAGGTACAAACATGAAATAATCTAATTTCTTCTCAATTTTAATTTCCTATGTGCACCTGTTTGTACAACCAGGGACCAGTCAAAGTGGTAAGTTTCTAAAGTGGGTTTAAGGAAAGTTAATTATTTAGGTACAAACATGAAATAATCTAATTTCTTCTCAATTTTAATTTCCTATGTGTACCTGTTTGTATGGATACCTTAGGTTACAGATGGTTTGAGCCACCATGTGGGTGCTGGGAACCAAACCTGGGTCCTCTGAAAGAGCAACAGGTGCTCTTAACCACTGAGCCATCTCTAGCCATAGTCATTATGTTTTTAACTCATTGGAAAGTACCATTAAAGGGTTGTTTGCCATCACTGTGTATTGACAGGGAATGATGATAATAATATGTGTATATGTATACACACACACACACACACAGAGAGAGAGAGAGAGAGAGAGAGAGAGAGAGAGAGAGAGAGAGAGAGAGAGAGAGAGAGAGAGATGAGTTAGTTAGAGTTAGAGTTCCAGGCCAGCCTGAGCTACATAGTTAGACCTCATCTCAAACAAAAAAAATTATTCACCATAAAACTGTCTCACTTCCTAACTACCCTGTTAAGTACAACTGCTATAAGAGAAATCAGTGGGCCAAAGGATATAAATGATAAAATTCTGGATGAACAATCACTGGCTGATAATCAATCCTACTCTAGACAAGGAAAGCACATCTGCCCAAATCTCTGCAAGGGTTAGCTAGAGACCATCTGCCAGCTTGATGGTGAAAACGTATCACCACACCTTTTCAACAACTATGACCCAAGTTGACTTTTCTGTTCAGTTAAACACCATCTGCCATTTATCAATTTAACACTGGCTTATGAACTTTTAATTAAAACTAACCCTTTTTGTAAGTTGCATATAATTTACCCTTTTTGTAAGTTGCACATGCTGTGGTCCACGTTTACCCAGTCTTCTGATTTTTGTAGCAACTTTTTGCATATATTTTTAATTTTATGCAAACAGTAACCCTTTCTTTTTATCTCCCTCTCTCCTTCCCTCTCATTGACTGTCCTGGAATTTGTTCTGTGGACCAGGCTGACCCTGAACTCAGAAATTCTCCTGTCTCTGCCTCCTCCCAAGTGCTGGGATTAAAGGTGTGCACCACCACCACCCAGCGATCTTTTGCTTTATATATTCTAAGTTTTCAATAGTTTCTATTTTAGCTGAGAGCCCAAGCTTGCTGAAAAAGAGAGGAAGGAAGAAACTCTTCCCATCAGGCACCCCGGAACAGGTAATTTGACTTATAGTCTCATTTCTTCACATAAAATCCTTACCTAAAATTCTGAATGTCTGAGGCTCACACTTCAAGTCGTTGGAGGAGCTGGCATTTGCACACCACCCTTCATGCGTGTTCTCTCCCCAGTGGAGCTGGAGCGAGTCTTAGGGTGGTGTCTTGGAAAGGGTCCTGATGTGTTAGAAGCACACTTAGTCAGAAGCCAGAAGCTCAGGAGATGACAGTATCCCCTCAGCTTCTATCAAGCATCCCTTGGCAGCATTTTAGTGAAAACATCTGACCTTACAGGGTACTTAGTCCTAAACGGGCTAAGAGTACAGACAAGTATTCGTTCAGAACCAAGTGTTTCCCAGCTACTTGTCCACACATGACCTAATTTCTAACTTACAATTTCGGGATTGGTAGACCTAAAATGTAAAAGATTTGGAGAGATTTAAGAGAATATTTCTATCAGTTCATATAAACTAAATTAGTGCAAGATAGCAATCTCTCCTTCTTAGTGTTTATTCAAGAGTTATTTTGCAGGACACCAACAGCACACCCCATATGTCTCAGCTATTTGAGAGTGCCATTTGGATACAATTTACCAAGATTAAACTAAACTGAAAAAAAAAAGTCAGCCTAACAGTGTTGTTGTTGCTTTAAATTTGATTAATACATAATACATAATACATAATCTGGTTTTCTCTTCTAGCCACCAAAGAAGTTGGGTAGACCCAAAAAACACGTGACAGAAGAGCCCCTCAGCCACAAAGGTTTGTTTTCAGTGAGGGCTGTACAAACACGATGGCCTCCAAATCCTTACAAAAATGTTGACCCATCTCTTCTAATGCTGGTGTCATGCTCTGACTTTATTCTTCTGGACTTTTGGTACCTATTAAGAACATCAGTCTTTTTTTTTATTACAACTATGCACTCTATTAGAACCTCTGCCATATAAAATTATTTGAGACACAATAAGGAAGGTAGGTTTGCCTGAGGCCAGAACCCAGTGGTAAACTACAACTCACAGTGACAGGTATCTTTTGTTCTATAAGAAGGGGATGTCCTTCCAGCATGGCATCTGTGACAAAAATGAGGGGCTGTCAGCTCAAGCACTTGAAGCTAAGTTTTACAAAAACATATTAATTCAAATAGTTACTATAAGCAGAGATAAGTTTCCATTGTTTGTATCATTTATTATTTGAGCTACAGAAAATTCAGACAATTATGCTCACCCATCAACTGGTAAAGCATAAAGTAACCACCATCTGATGCGAATAGCTGCCCTAAGACCATTTCCTCCTAACGGTGAGTTCTTTGTTCTTAGATGTAACTGGCCACATTCCTTTTCTGAAGAAATGCAAAGAAGCAGGACTTCTTAATGAATTATTTGAAGGGATACTAGAAAAACTTGATTCAATTCAAGGAAAACTCCTGAATGAGACCGCTTCAGAATCAGGTACTGAATTGGCTAAATATAAACAAATACTAGAAAACAAATCTTCTTCTTTACGTGCCTTTTCCCTCCCTTCTTTAAATTATTCTTTTAAAACACTGGTTATGGACTGGAGAGATTATTCAGTGCTCAAGAGCACTTGGTATTCTTGCAGCGGACCCAAGGTCAGTTTCTAGCATCTAGATGGTGGTTCACAACCATAACTCCAGTTCGAGGGGAATCTAACACCCTCTTTTATCCTGTACAGTCACTGGACATGCACATGGTACCCATATGTACATGCAAGCAAAACACTCCAACACAAAATCATAAATCTAAAAAATCAACTTAGTGCCAGATCTACTGTCCACAATAAATCAATAAGATATGGGAAGTCAGATTCTTTATTAGTGGGAAAAATGCACGGCTGCCTGGAAGACTGTTTCCCAGAGGTACACATAACTGAATTGGTAAAGGAACATTCATTGCCACTTGTGACGAGTTAGTTTGACTGGTTTTGTTGTTGTCACAGCTGTTTTAAGAAACACTTATATTATTTTTAAATATGTATACATGTATGTTGGGAGGATATGGACATGGGGGTACAGTTGCCCATACAGGACAGAACTGTCTGGTACCCTGGAGCCAGAATTGTAGGCAGTCATAAGCCACCCAACATGGTACTAAGAAGCAGCCTCTAGGCTATAATTTTCATGTGCCTCAAATTCTATTCCTTAATAAATCAAGGGTTTTTAAAAAATCACTACAGGGCTTGGAGAGACAGCTCAGTGGTAAAGAGCACATACTGTCCCTGCAAAAGACCTGGGTTTGGTTTTCAGCACCATGTGTGGCAGCTCACAACTTCCTGTACTTCAATCTCCTGGGGAGCTGACAATCTTATGGCCCCCGAGGACACCTATACCCATGTGTATACACACACACACACACACACACACACACACACACACAGACACACACACACACACACACACACACACACAAATAAATCTTTTTTTAAAAATTGCATTGTGCACCTGCCACAGCACACACATGGAGGTCGGTTCTACATCCACCATGTGGGTTCTGGGGATTGAACTTACGTCATCAGGTGGCAGCAAGCATCCCTACCTGCTGAGCCATCTTGCCAGACCATGGAGTAGTTGTTTAGATCAACTCTATAACAGAAGTTACTTTCTTAATGAGTTCCTAGTTTGCAAGTATATAGTTACTGTGACCTTTTATAACCTACAGAATGAGCTAAAAAAAAAAAGCTTTATAGTTACTTGTTAGGGGAATTTGGATATTTCATACTGTAAGCGACAATAAAATCTGAACTAACTTAAAATGGTTTTCTATATGATAAAACCAAAAGATAAATTACAGCTAAACACTTCCAAGAGTTCATTTGTTATATAATCTTATTTACGTATTTTCTGAAGATCAAGAACTCTCAAACTTGTGGGTGCCTCATAATCACTTAGGGGATCCCTGAAACATGGGCGTTCCTCCCATAAGTTCCAGCTGCACAGAGATACTGAGCTGATGCTTCTCACGGGTTCCCTGATGGCCTCTGCACTGTGCTTACTGCTGGGCTACTTATTCTTCCATACTGGGGGGTGTTATTTTCTGATTTCTCCCTGTGTGATATGTTCACATTAAAATTAACACAGGAAGTTGTTTCTTCTTCTAGACTATGAAGACATTGATACTTTACTGTTTGACTGTGAATTGTTTGAAGACACATTAATAAAATTCCAAGAAGGTAGGTGATTTATAAAGAGACATTTATGATTCAGATCAACATGACAGGTGACAAAACAATAGCCATACTTCTAAAAGACAGTTTTTATCAAATGAAAAAAATCCTATTACAAAAGCAGCATGACATACAGAGAATACATGCATAAAACTGCAGTTGCACACATACACAGACATAGATGGCAGACAGACAGACAGACAGACAGACAGATCACACCCTAGAAACAGCAGTGATTTGTACGTGGATGGATTACAGTTCTGTGCTTTCCAGATAGACACCAGAAAAACTGACTACAAGGGAGAAACAATAAAAGTTTTTGATTCCAAAACTGTACAGTATTTTGATCCATGTATAGACAGGTTCAGGAGGCTTCCTGCAGCCTCTCTGCCCCCAGGCAGCAAGATGGACGCAACAGTGGCCCATCCTGCTGCTTGCTTCCCTCTTACTTGAAGAAATGTTTCTTTTCCTAAGGTTTATCTTCACAGCTCATCTTCTGATGGAGTGAGTATTGTCATTCTAAACTTCATCAGGAAAAAAAAAGAAAGAAAGAAACAAGAATAGCCAAGAAAAGTTTTGTCTTTTTTTTTAGGTGATGCAGTTAGCTGTGTATTGTGGTGCACACCTGTAATCCTAGCAGTAGAAAGGGTGAGGCAGGCTTGCCAGCCTGACCACACAGTGAAACCCTGTCTGAAAAACATAAGAAGCATGCATTCATTATGGCCCTCTTCAGTACTAAATACCTGTATGCACTGCATCCATGGACATGGGTGAGGGCCAGATTCACACAGGACTGGTATGAAGAGCTCCCCCATTACTGCATAACACTCTGCCCTACCGTGTTCGTAACTAACGATAGGACAGCAGGTTTTCCCTGTGGAGAAAAGTCTGCCTGTGTCACCCCAATATGCACAGCCTCTCAGCTTGGTTGCCTGTTACTCATTCCTATTTGAACTCTGAAATATTCATTTTTAGTCAGCAGAAAAATTACTTTAAAAGCTGCTTGAGAGTGTCTGTTCATAAGAATAGCCTAAAAAAACAGCCTTCAAAACACTGTATTTCCTATACTTACATTGTCATATAGTATGAAAGTTATGTGTCTGGAACATGTCACAGTGTATGTGGGGTACCTCAAGACCCTAACCGGGACTGCCCGAGAACCTGTGGGAAAGGCTAATCCCTGACACAGTGCCATTTTGGTCTGGCTGAATTCAGCCCAGTATTTCAAGCCAAGTGCAGTTACGCAGTCATACCGACAACTATGAATTTAAAACTTCAATTAAACTTTTAACTTTAATTCTTAACTAAAACAGCATGGTTAGGTTTCTGCAATGAGAGCTTCTCCCTTCCCAAATCATACCCAAAGCTGTGATGTAACAAATGTCTTTAGAGCAGAGATGTGCTCATGAATGGATTCTTGTACCCTGTTCCACTATAAAGAAATGCAGACTCATGTGATAAATGCTAGGGTTTCATCCTGAGGCCGAAGAGGAAGCAAAGGCCTAGGAGGACCATTTCTGTTCATTAGGGGCATAACTACTATGTTTTATATTTGAACTAATCCAGACTACAGACAGTACATACTTTCTAATCAAATTACTGCATGTACTAAAGTCACTCTATTTTTTTTTAAAGTAATACAGAGTAAAGCTTGTGAGCAGGAAGAAAGGCAGAGGCAGCTGACACAGCAGCTTAAGGCACTTGGTAACTTAGAACAAACCCTGTGCTCCTTTCAAGAAAATGGAGTCCTGAACCACTCAAGTTCTTCTTCAAGATCCCCACCATCTTCGTAGGAACCACCAGTTCAAACGCCAGGAGTCTGCTGATATGCAAGCAGGCTCAGAAGACAGCCTATGACAGACACATGGGTCCCCACCCCTCCCTGACCTGCTTCTGCTGATTGCTATTTTATACCTGACTGGGGGTTTGTCTCCTCTCTTGTCCTACTTGTCCTTGTCCATAAAGACTGCTCTCAGGTCAACTGGATGAGCTGAGAACAGATCTTCACATCCGTTCTCTGAGGGGCGAGGAAATCTTTCTATTGGTTGGTGCCTCCCCTTCCCACCCCAGTCAATACCAGCGCCTTTGCACATCCCGCTGTGAAATCTTAGAACTTTCTCTTGCCTCTGCTGCCCCTCCAGTAGGTCTCACAATAGCCTCCTCTCAGTACTAATAACCCCATTAGACTAGGGCAGAAACTCATTCCCGTGGCTTACTTACTGTTAACCTGGGTTTCTGCTCACTACCACATTTCCAAGACTTAGCATTTTCAATAAAAGTTTGTAAAATACACTGTAGAGAGTGGACAGTTTATTTAATACAGTTTACAACAGTCCTCAGCTGTAACAATGTAGAATGCTCTGCTCTGTTTTATCCATTTTATATGGGTCTCCATCAGTCTCTTCAGAAGTGTCTTTTTGGCCACAGTTATTATTAAAAGGGTATGTGTCATCTGCAAGACAAACACCAACATTTGAAACTTGGCTCTTTGAATAAGAACATCAAGAACGAAGACTTCTTTTTCCAGCTAACAATATGCAGTTCAGATCTGCATGCCCACATCACTCTTGACCCTTGACTCCTTTACAGTCACATTTCTAATTTCTACTGTGACCTCCACAACAATGCTGCCTATCAGAACCAGATGGAGCTGTGTCTCTAGCATGGTGTCGAGTTTGGAATGGGTGCTCAAACATACTTGTTAAGGAATCATTCCTGGAGCACTACTGTGGTTACCAATGTCACTTCATGAAGGGTAAACTGACATGACTGCAATCTGACCACCCATCAGAATCAGCGGGACACTTCTATGTTAAAGTTTCCTCTCCTCCCTTACATTCAGCGTTGTCAGTCACAGTAAATTACATGGCAAAAGGGAGCACCGCTTGCTTGGGTTCATAACATTGGTGCATATTTGGCAAACTGACCAAATAAGTCTGTTGTTACTGAAAAATGAAGCAAATAATCACACTCATCATTTCTATATAAGAGAATGTATGGAACCCCAGGTTACAGTAGATGGCATCATGGGAAGTAAACATTAATGTTGTGCCCAAATTCTGAACCCCCCAAAAAATCACCAAAAGGCCCATTTCAATGCAAAAGCAAAGAGTCTTTTATTGAAGTTATTTAACAAGCTAAACCCATTAGCTTGGGCCCTTCACCCCGCCACCATAGCAGATGGCTGGAGAAAGATCCCAAGCAACCTTGAGGCAGGGACCTTAAAGGGCAGCATAAGGGGAGTGTCTAGGGGTATGAAACAGTCTCAGGATTGGTGCACTTCCGCCCTGTGTTATTGGTCAACTGGTTGTTATGGCCCATAGGCCCTCCCAGGGCGGTTGCTATGCTCTGTGTGTCACTATTGTGCACTCTCTGTAAAACACGCCCAGAGCCATAAAGCACAGCCCTGCCAGCTAACTTCTGATTGGTTCCTTGCTACGAGGAGGCATCTGACCTCCTAGTGACCAGGACAGGAGCGACAAGGTCATGTTAGCCTGTCATGGCTGCTAAAATGGGGGACTGGTCACTACAATTAGGGATCCTGCACACACATTCCCTTATTCAATGCTGCATTTTGTAGACCTAGGGGAAGGCTCATCAACACCCTTGGTTATCCTATTGTGTTATAGATGAACTAAAAAACAACAATTTATGATTTTCCCTATTCTACACAACCATCTTCAGAACAACTGTTTGTTAGGTCAACTTCATTTGATTCCATTATCTAAAAAAAAGTTGGTGAGATGGCTGAGCACTTGTCACCAAGCTTGATGACCTGAGTTTAATGCCAGGAACCCACACAGCAGAACTGACTTCTACAAGTTGCCCTCTGACCTTCACAAGAGTGCCATAATATGTACTGTCTGTGACCCCCCCATACAAAATTAACGATAAAAAAGTTTACAAATATCCCATTATATCACTAGTTGTTAGCCTAACCTCCACTTTTCCCTAATAATCATTATGTATCACAAGGGCAGTGGCTGCTACTTTTCATTTTTACATACTCCCAATTCAAATGCATTTCCCACTCTGATAATTCAACTATACTCTTTTAACAGAAATAAAACCTTTGGGTTGGGGGTAGTTGAGAAGCAGTTGACACATTCATAGTTTTTAGGATTTTGGGGGGGTACTAGCCCTCTTTTGGGATTCCTTATAGGGTCCAATCAAGACTCTACAGCAGGTGAGGGAAAAACAATTAAGAGAGTCTAAGGGAAAAAAGGAACTCACACGCGATTGCTTCTCTGTATGTTTCTTTATTCTTCTATATCTCAGGAACCAATGTTTCCAGTTTATATACCTTTACTATCAGCAGTTTCCCAGCCTCCTAGCAGGGTCCAGGACTGGAGTTCTTTTGCACCATAAAAGACAGATAAGAATTTGCATACACATAGGCAAATGATAGCTGTCAGCTCAAAGGTGGGAGTGGCTTTGTGAATGTTCTGTTAACTCCTTAAGGGAGAAGGTTAGTTAAGAGAGATTAAATCATCAAGGAATTCTACAAAGGGAGACTAGTGCGCTAAGATACACTTTAAAGTAGTTTAGATAAAGAGTTAAAATGTTTATATTTAGTAAAATCATGTGTAAGGCAAAGATTGTCTGTCTTTTTACTCATGGGCAGCTTTTCTCCCAGCATTAATAGGGTATCGGGTAACCAGGCAATCTATGTAAACAACAGAGAGGCAGCTTTTGGTCTGCTGTGGCACTTTCACTATGGTTTCCAGCTAAGAAACTTTTAGCATTACTTGCATAGGGCTATAAGTCAAGGAGAGGATCTAAGTTTAATTTGCACAAGAAAGAGAACCTGGTGCCTTCCAGTGCTCTGTAGTGGCACAGGTCTGTCTACAAGAAAGTTTATTTTTTCCTGAGGGTGAGCAAATTGCCTGATTACCTCTGTCTTTATCTTCTTAGGGGAAACGAAACAGTAAATCCCTGAGCTAAGATCTTGGGTTAGTAAACTGGGATGAAGGCAAATGCATGAAGTTTGAGAATCTTTTAGAGCTGGGCTAGTTTAGGTTATCACTTTTCTATCTGCCAGTGAAGTAAAACCAGGGCATGTTTATTTTCTTATCTGTCTAAGTGGTTATGAATCATCAGTTTTAGGCATGTAGCAATTCTATGTCGTTGGATATCTGGGAATGTCTTAGATGGGATGCTGTTGCCTGGGCCCTGAACATTGACCAAATGCCTGTCATTAAGGATAACTGCCTGAAGGCAGATCTCTCCAATTACATACAAGGGGGGGAACAAGGACCTGGTAGTGGGAAACAGGTCCTACTAAGCTAAGGAATGTAATCAGTAAACTAAGACATGGTAATGGAGAACAGTTTTTACACATAGCTAGGGAGTGTAATCAGTAAACTCCAAATGCATGGGAGATATTGTTCCCAGTAAATGATCATATAGCACTGAACTTTGGGAATTACAGAAGCAATTACAGACAGGAATGAGCTACTAGAAGGATCTACAGCAAGAGACAGTCACTTTTATTCACAAGACTATAACGCCAAATATGTCCTTCGCATTGGTTTGAATTCCTCCATGCAGAGCCCATGGTTCTGGTGGGTCATCTCATGAAATGATGGCTGTATAATTACTGGGTGACCTTGTGGTTTGTAGCATACAGTGGTATCTTATTATTCTAATGTTGGTAATTTTTAAAATTGTGACAGATGCAACAAAATTTACCATTTCAACCCTTTTAAGAATATCACCTTGTCTATGAAGCTTTGCTAACTGTAAAAATCTGTGCTTAATTCATACAGCTGTGTGAGACTCAAATAATGTATGCGAGAAAAAAAGAATATTAGTTCAGTAACATCAACTATAGTAAAAATGCATCATTCATTCAAAACCCTCTTCTTCATGAAAAACAGAATGTGCCCACTTAACAGCCCTAACCTCTCCCAGCCCCTGACAGCCACCCTCTTTCTGTATCTAGAAAGTGGACGGCATATTGCTTGTCTTTTTGTGGCTGACATTTTTTTCACTTAAGTCCACAAATTAATCCATGTTGTACCAAAATAACAAGCTCCTCTCCCTTTTCCAGGCTGTATATTACTATATTCTAAAGGAGAAAACAACCACAACTGTACATGCCTGACTTAAGAGATTGTTTATTAATGTCATTCAAGAAATAACATAAATGCATCCTAAATACTCAAGTATCAAACATTGTTCCAGTAAGTTCAAGGATACAGTTTAGGCTATTTTAAGAAATGTGACTTCTCTGGCTTCCATTATTACATCAGAAGAAAACATTAATTTCAAGAATAGTTTTTGTTTCCTATGATTAAAAACAAAACCAAATAGAAAAATAAAAAGGCTGTATTAAAAAAAATACTCAAACACTTTTGAAAGGATTTGTTCTTTTACTATCATACACAGCCACTCAAGCTCCCTGGGGAGCTGAGAAGTGTGTCTTCAGTTGTATCAGAACTCAGTGAGTTTTGTCAGGTGAGCATCTAGGGTTATGGGTTTACAGCTGTGAGTTGTGCTTTTCTGTGGAGAGGGTTTTCAAGTAAGAGCAATAGTAAACGTACTGAAGTTACCACCTTGACACCCTACGTCTACAGGACAGCGGTCATACAGACGGCCTATTACAGCACATCAAATTAATGTGCACTCATGTCCTAGGAGGAAAAACTGTCACAGAAGAGTCAATTCTAACTTACTACTACAGCAGGAAACAAGAAGAGGGGTTAAACTCTGGGTTTGTATTTATCTCTCCTGTCAAGAACTCCTATCTTTGGTGCCCTGCTCACCACTCTACCCTGATAACACATTTTAAAGCACTGCTCCAACAGAGCCTGCAGCACTCCCTCCTTCTTAACATGGCTCTGTACTCAGGCTAAGTCCAGAAGGTCCTGTTTAAGCGGGAGACAGAACACACACAAATGTAAAGGAGTCCAGGGAGGAGAGAGCAGACAATGGCTCCCCGAGGAAGCAAGCTCAATGGGTAAAGCTGCAACACCAACACTCCTGCATCCCGGTAACATGCAGTCAGATCTACCAACACTCCTGCATCCCACTAACATTCAGTCAGACCTAAAGACAGACAATCTTTGAAAATGGCCTTCTTAGGGAAAACTGTGACTTGGGGAACCCCATTACAAGACTAAAGCAAGCCAAAAAGTATTCCTAACACAATTAAAGAACGAAAAACCCAGAACCAGAAGGTGAAGCTTCAAATGAATTTGTGATGGAATATGGCCTAGACTTCCCCACCCAAAAAGTGACCCTATTGAATCCTGTAAGAAGGGTGGTTTTAAAATCACATCAAGTCACAAAGGAACACATTTGTAGAGTATCTGCCACTGTATTAACAGGGTGGGGTTGGGGGGTAGTGTGCAATGCAGTCTCAAATGCAACCCTAATGAAACATTGCTGGGAATGTTCAGGCTAAGTCCTGAATTAGTGGAGACTGTAGCTTCTAGGTCACTCTCCTTTATCAAAGCAACTGCTTCTTTTCTCCTAAGCATCTCATAGGTAGTTCTAGTCATTACTCTTCAGGTAGTTACATCTTTTGTTTTTCAAATTACTTCTTTATTGTGTGCATGTGTGTGGTCACAGTGCATATAGAGTGGTCAGAGGACAATCTGTAAAGTCTGCTCTCTTTCTCCTGGGGACTGAACTTCAGTCTTCAGGCTTAGTGATAAGAGCCTTTACCTGCTGAGCCATCTTTCCAGCACCTAGATGCCCACATCTTAAGAGACTCTTGGCAAATCTAAACATTTCTTGGCTGTTTAAGTGGGTTTAATGCAAATTCAACAGTATTTTTTACGAGCCTCCCACGGTGCTGGTGCTCCCACAGGAAGGTGGTGACAGTGAATAGCACTCAGGGGCACTGGACTGGGCTTCTCCTTCACGGGCAGTGTGAACAGGCTTGTTGCCAAAGACCCAGGGACATCTCACTGACTTCCTTAATCCAAGTTCAAAAGAGTCTCTCATGAAAACTAAAAATTCAAAAGCAACTAAACTTTCATCCTTTCATGGCAATCAGCCACATGTAAGAAAATCACATGTAAAATATACATATCTAGAAACAAGAGTTGTGTAAAACGGGCTCATGAAAAGCAAGCATCCTTCAGATATTCCTACAGAGCACTGTCTCTGATGTGACAAGAGCAACCTGGTGGGGTTTTACCTGCAGAATCACATCACCCACAGTGCCCCAGAGCACTCACACCCAGCCCAGCAGCCTCAGGCTTCAGTTCTTAAAGGCTCCACATTTACTGGCTTTAGCAATGAACTCCTTTAGCAGGGGACCATCCATTTGCCAAAATGCCGTAGTCTGTGTAACTTCTGTCAAATGATTGATGCAAAACTTAAAGCAGAATTCTTCTAAATCCTGGACATACACAACAAAAATAAGAACAGGAAGAGGCCTTTGTTTATTAACCAAGAACTGTTTCTCTTCAAATCCCCTCATCCCAACTCTCTTACCCTTCCCAAAAGAGATTCCTGAAATCAGATAGCTCAAACCAGGCAAGCAAGAGGACTACATGTCATCAGAAAACCTGCCATGTACTCGCAAGAGTAAAAACATGGTTTCCTTAACCCAAGTGTGACACACACACAATCATCAGAAGCCTTCCATGGCTGTCACACAGTGCAAATATCTCAAGACACTGTACAAATCCCAATGCCACTTTAGTCTGTACATATTTCGTTACATTTAAGAAAGCAAAATGATATTTAAAAAAGATTATCTTCCAAAACTTTACTTTCATGGTCTAATAAAAATGAATTCATTTTTAAAGTTCCCAATAATATATTATGTCTTCCAGCATGTTATTAAAAGTCTCCAGTCAACCCCAGACAAGTGCCTTTAACACAGATTAGCATTGTCAGGCAGATGAATGAAAGTCACCAACTGCCAACATTAAGCAATAAAGCATCATACAGAAATGGTGTCTATGCTAAAACATCTACTCATCCCAGCAAACCCCCCAGTAAGTCTGCCAAGTCAGAAATGCAAGCATACACTTATCACACACAAATTGGTACGTATATGAAGAGTACTCTAATGTATTAAACAACTTAAAAGAAAAAAAGTTTTTTTAAACCAAAGTGGCTTGATTTTTTTTGGGTGGGGGGGGGGAGGGTATTGGGCCAGCTGAGAAGTTGTGAGGAATGCTACATTTAAAGCGAAGGGTCTTGACTTTATCTGTGTAGCTGCCCTGAGGTGAGACTTCTAGACAGTTCAGGGTAGGGCAACAGAATGCCCCTTTCTGTACTCAGGCAGACTCCTATGAACATCTCTATTTCTTTACTATAGGATTCCTGTCCCAAGAGCGAAAAACTTCCCACTCCAAGAAAATGCACCTAGATGAATAACCACCAAGAAAGAAACCACAGATAATTTGTCTCAGCTGCTGCCCAAGTTTTATTTCTCAGACAACTCAAAGGACATTTACAATGTTAGCACATCTCTGGATCCAGGTTTTTGTTTGTTTTTGTGTGGTCTATAAATAATTTTAAAGACAAGTTCTCACTATGTCTGACCCCAATAAAAACTCAGAATTCTCCTGCCTCATCCTCAAGTTAGGGGCTTACAGGTAGGTACCACCATACCCGGCTAGATCCATGTTTCTTTCTCATCTACATTTGAATTTCTTTATTTGGGGTGGAAGGTAGCACAGGCAAATCATGTAAGCAAGCAGAAGTTAGAGAACAATTTGCAGGAGCTGGCTCCCCTTTTCTACCATGTGAGTCCTGGGGATTGAACCAATGTTGTCAGGCTTGGCACCCTAAGCCACTGAGCCATCTCATCAATTCTGGATGCATAAGTCAGTCTGCCTCTGATGACAAGAGTCTGACTCTCACCTTCTAAGAATGCATAGGACATGCTCATTTGGAAGTGGCCAGCTCCTGAATGAACTGAACATAAATGCAAACCACAACCTTTGCATTGCTAGAAAACAGCCATCAAGAACTGCTAAACTTCAAATATAAAAAATTCCAAAAAGGTACCATCTTACCAGTAGATTGAAAAAGACTTCCAGAATAAAATCAACGAAGATGAAGGGGCATTTCATCAGCAGATGAAAAAGTTCCCATAATAAAAATAAGGAATGTTAAGCTTCATGGACAGGGAGGAGAGGATGTAAAATTGAGAGGTCTTCTTTGGAATAGAAACTAAAATGTATAAATCTATGGAGAAATTATAAAGTGGCTCTAGGGCAGATTCAACAAACTGTAGTTTGTTAATTTTTAAATGACTATTTTGAAAAATATTCCAAAATAAAAAAAAAATAACTTGGAGGAGGCACAGTCACAGAGACCAGATTCAGGGGTTGGTTCTCCCCTTCCACACGTGTGGCTCTAACCGAGCTGGATCCCTGCTGGGGCTGGTGGCAGGCACCTTACCCGCTGAGCCATCTCCCATGCTCACAGTCCATAATGACACCATCTGAAAACCAAGTTGCTTTTCTCTCTACCATTTTCTTAAGTACTAGGCTGGAGCCCTAACATTCTGGTTTACAGCACTAAAACAGCAATTAGTGGCATTCTTGCAGTCCAAGACTTCCACAGTGGTAAGTAAACACTGTCCCTTTTTCAGAAGGCCACTCAGATATGTTTGCCCCAGGGTTTAAACACACGGACTTCCGCAGCACTTAGCAACTGCTCCCAAGTCAGCACCCTGTGCTGGAGGACTGCGGCTCCTCCCGGTCCACTGTGAAACAGTGTGCCTTCCTAACACTTGCACCATGACCCTGCTTCTGCAAGTTCAACTACTATGCCTGTTCTTTTTCTGTACATTAACTTCAAAAGTTTCCTTCAAAGGGCACACGGACGAGTCGGTCACTGTTACAAAGCCATGAGCACCAGCCATGACCCAACCGAATGGCATCTGCTACCCTAAAGCTAGGCTTCTAAAATTTGTTTTTACAGTCGGTTAACAATGTCAGTTACTTCCTACCAACTGAGGTATGTAATAGGTTTGATTTGAACACTATGGCCAATTATAGCATTCAAAGGTACTAAAGAAATAAAATGTATAAGCATACTTACTGATCATATAGCTCAGTATCAAAATCTAAGAAGTATATCATAATGATTTCACTCTATTTCCACATTGAATGTGTCATGTTTGTGGAACTTAAGGTTTGTTTGTTATCTTGAAAGACAAAAGTGCCCCTTTGTAGTGAAGTGCTTCAAACATGTTTATTCATTCAATTAATATATATTTTTGGTGTTTCAAACAGGTTTAATTATTCAATTCAGCATGTTTTTGTGTGCTGGCTTTGCCCATGTGGTGATAAGCTCCATATAATCACATTCATTTGTAGTCTCTCTAAACAGTTCTCTCTTGTTTTGAAACAGGGTTTCTCTGTGTAGCCCTGGCTGTCCTAGAGCTTGCTCTGTAGACCAGGCTAGTCTTGAACTCACAGAGATCTGCCTGCCTCTGCCACTCCCAAGTGCTGGGATTAATGGCATGTGCCACCATGCCTGGCTAAGAAACAATTCTTTTTTGGGGGGGTATCTCTCTCTCTCTCTCTCTCTGGGGGGGGGGGGGTGTTGAGACAGGGTTTCTTTGTAGTTTGGAGTCTGTCCTAGAACTCATTCTGCAGACCAGGTTGGCCTCAAACTCAAAGATCCACCTGCCTCTGCGTCCAAGAGCTGAGATTAAAGTGAAAATGAACAAAGGACATGCATGGGCTGCTGCGATCTGAGTGGCATTGAGTTCTTCCAGTAAAACCTTTTGTCTTTTCTTAGCCTTACTCACTATGCAGAGCAGCTGCCTCAAACTCCCAGAGATCCTCCTGTCTCTGCTTCTTAAATTCTCGGGTTAAAGGTGTGTGCCTGGTCTTTTCCTGTAAACTTTTAAAGGTAGATTTTAGGTGAAAGTGGGGAATGAGTTTCCAGTAAGAGGACCTACGCGCTAGCCTCTTGTCAGGCTATCTTGGCTGTTAAAATCAACAGGCCTGAGCACAGAGCAGAGAAGTGTGGAGAGGCACAAAAGAGTCTAGAGTCAATCCTCAATGGAGAGAAACAGCATCAGCCCAATTTAAAATTATATTCTTATGTGGAAATGAAGTCTAAAGAGACAGCATTTGTAACAGACAGGTGTGGTGATATCTTGTTTATACTCTAACAAATAAAGCTTGCCTGAAGATCAGCGGGTGGAACTAGCCAACAGCTAACCATAGAGTTCTAGAAGTATGTACAGACAGACAGGAAGTGATATGGCTGGCTGGAGAGAGGAGGTGGGAGGAGACAGGAGCTCAGGCTCTTTTTGGTTGGGAAGTTAGTGAAGTCAGGTGTGGCTGTGGCTTGCTCCTTTGTCCCTCTGACCTCTCAGCATTTTCCCCTATATCTGACTTTGGGCTTTTGTTCTTAAGACCTATTAGAACTCTGCTACAGACTGGTGTGACGGGAAGGGGAGGAAAGCAAACCACATTCCATTTTCCATTAGATACAATCGACTCTGACCATGTTTCCATTTGTTGTCAGGCTCCAAAGTCAGCTACTATTGACCTTGTGAAATATTTATTATCATAAAAGAACCTCAAGCAAAAATAGGATAGGTTTTGAAAATAAAAGACATAATGGTCAACTCAGTCCCTAAGTGTCACAGATAGGAAGTTTATCCTGTTACACCTCAAAAGCCACAAGGTGTATCTTTAATAAATTTCCAGCTACCAGAGACTCTGCATGTCAAATGAGAAAACACCTCTGAAAGACAGGCTCCATTTCGAGCCTGTTATTTTTTTATGAATTTGTACAGCTACGAGTGCATTAGCAGTGTCTACTGCACAGTTCTGTGCACTGTCTTCACAATTCAAGAGCATCTGCCACGCCCCAGTGCTTGTGCTAGGCGCTGCACACGTGGAGAATCAGGTGCAGCTTCTCTCATGAGACGTCTGTAGTCTGTGACTCAGCTCAACTCAGGAAAGTTTAATGCCTTGCACACTACAGAACACCACTCATCAGATTCTAGAAGTCTGAGAAACCCAGATTTGACATTCAACTCCATGTAAACAGAATGGGGACTGCTGAGATGGCTCAGTGGGTAAAGACACTTTCTGCATAAGGCTAACAACTGACTCTGATCCTTGGAGGCCATGCAAAGATGGAAGAAGAGTACAGGCTCTCTAGTCTACAGACATGCACATGTGTACACACACAGACACACACACACGCACTAAAAACTTTTTTAAAAAAGAGGCAGAACACAATTAAGTTCTTTACACAACCCTAACCGAGCTGCAGGACAAGGACAGAGCTGCAGACCCTCACAGATGGAAAGCAAACAGCATCTGGGCTTCTGACGGGGTGGACGCAGCAAAGCGGTCTTGAGAACAGACGCACTGACATCAGCAGACAGAACTAAAGCGTGCTGCCGGCCAGTGCAGTGAGTCCCGCACTTGACACTCCCACTGCGGCCGTCAGCCAATTAGTTAACAGCAGAAGCAGAAACATAACTGATCCTGAAACAGTGAACAGAGATGAAAGAAGCAAGGCCGATACCACTGAGGCCTTGTCACGAGTCACTACAGAGAGGTGAGGGGAGCCATGCTCCTTGTGTCACAGGAGAGAGGGAAGCGGGCTGGCAGGGAGGGAGCTGGGGCACTTCTATGTTACCTCTGCATCATATCTGACTGCAGCAGAGAATAATGAGAAAGCGTTCTCCACGGTAATTCCTCGCTTGATGATGTGCTGACAAAGCCTCTTCAGTCTGTTTTCACAGTACGATGTCGCCAAGTCCAAAAGACCTAAAAAGCAGGAGCACTAGGGTCACACCAGCTCACAGCACCCACGACAGATGATAACATGCCACTTTCATTTCAGGTGAGCAGTTCCTGAGCAAGCACTACTCTGAAACTGAGTAAATATTTTTAGTCCATTTCTCATGCCTCCAAAAATGTTACCTGTCCTATAATTACTTTATACAATTTCTCCCATAATACAAAGAGTAAAAAGGGATTCTCTTCCTTATTTTGTTTCTAAAAGTTTTAAATGCATTAGAAACCTACAATTTCATTTATAAATTTTAAATAAGTTTAAAGTTATACAGTATGTCCATAATTTTAAACAATAGTAGCTGTTTAGAGATGTTTACTTTAAACACTATCTTTAAGTGTACAAAAGTTAATCCACCTCTAAATTACTGTATACCAGTGCTCTAAGAATAGGACAGAATCACGGGCATATGGCCTGACCAGCAGTACCCCGTGCAGTACCTATGGCATCCTCGGGTGGCAGATCCACTGTGTCTGTGTAGAGGTACTGGAGAAAGGCACGGTACACGGGGTAAGAAAACTGGTCTATCTCTATCACCTCCTTCATGTCCTCATTCCAGTAGGACTGGAACATGGATCGGAAGTGCTCACACCTACAACAAAAGCAAACCGTACCAACAAAAGGGCTGAAAGCAAATAACAGATTTAAAAGTATCCTTTACCATCTGCGCTGCACAAGCTGGGATCATTCACTGTTAGCACCCAAAGTATTTGCTATGCAAGGACTTTTATGTGCAATGTTGCTAAAATCTCTCTCATCTCCATATCACCATTTAACAGTATCAATTAGATAGAGGGACCAGAAGTAACCAGTACTTCAGCAGCACTGTCTCCATCAGTACCCATTCTAATCAAGTGTTTGGATGACTTGTTTTTGGTTTTATGTATACAGAAATGCAATTTAAACAACACAATGAGGGCTGGGGATGTAGCTTAGTCATAGAGTGGAATATGGTACAGAAATACACAACATTTACTTGGAGTTCTTTTAAAAATGGGTTCAGTGATAGTTACTATGAGGGGTTAAAATATTTCTAAGCAATACAGAATGGATGTAACAGATTAGAATATCTGTATGAGAAAAGCAAGCACACACACATGCACGCATGCATATGCACACGCACACGCACACCCCACAGAGTTATAGGTAAAAAACGCGTGTAATCATCTTTTCATCCATTACTGTGTCCATATAGCTATTGCTCAAAGTAATGAATGACATATGGCTATTCAGTTCTCTTAAAATTTACTATTCTTCTGCTTTCACCCACAAATGCTGGGGAACAGCAGTTTTCTGCAGTGGCTTCTCACATGGCAGGCAAGCGTTCTGCTAACTGAGCTGTACCCCCACCCACAAATGGGTTTTAACTGAACTTCCTGAAGACATAAATGGCCAATTCAATGGTTTGAGTTCATGTGTGCACTCTGTAGAGGCATCTAAGTAAACAATCATTTGGTCATTACTAATTAATGCTCAGTGACCTCACATTTACTCAGGAACTCCTGCCACTTATTCTATCTAAACAACTTTTCTTTGGCTGGCAATTTACATTCCTTATTATAAAAGTTTTCTGTTTGGGAAAACTTCATCTTTAACAGTAGAAGAGGATATATACTGATATTTACTCTCAAATAAGCATCTACTAGAGCTGTAATGAATTTATTAATTCATTTGTTTTTACTGTTAGGGAATCAAACCCAGGGCATTGCTCATGCTAGACAACTGCTCTACTACGGAGCTACACTCCCAGCCCAATTTGTAATTTGAAAAATAACGAAGAACTGGGGGTACTTGCCTAGTATTCACAAGCACTGGGTATAATTTTCAGTACTACAGAAAATTAAACAACAGAAAAAAACAAACTGCATGAACACAAGCAAAAGATACTTTTGATAATACAGGTATCTGCCAAAAATCCTAAGTTATCATACTTCTTTGTACTGCCATAGCAATTTCTTCTTAGTGTCTAGTCTGTGGTGTAATAAACAAATGGAAATAGCAAAAAGAAAGTAAAGTTACTGATGACTCTTAACTCATGCAAAAATACCTGATTTTCAAAACAGCTTTATGGACATGAATATATTTCCCATCAATTCGAAACTTCAGATCAGCAGTTTCTGGACTATCAAATTCTTTCTTCAGTGAATCTGCAACTGTTAAAAAGTCTTCGTGCTCTGAAGGCAACAGACACACTGTTACAAAAAGCTCAGGACACAGAATCAGGCATGAGAGGCTTTCAAAACATAATTATAGTATATAATTTCAATAAAGCTCATAACTTATTTAACAAATCAAACTCACAGTATTAATGTAATTGATCTATAAACTACAAATGAAACAAAATGAGTATCTGGGAAAGTACAAATAACAGTCTTCATGTATAATTCAACATGAAAATATGCACTAAAAATAAATCTCACGCTGGGTGGTGGTGGCACACACCTTAATCCCAGTGCTGGGGAGGCAAAGGGAGGTGGATTTCTGTGAGTTTCAGACCAGCATGGTCTACAAAGTGAGTTCCATGATGGCCAGGGCTACACAGAGAAACCCTGTCTTAAAAAAAAAACAAGAACACATAAATAAAAACAAAAAAGACCTTAAAGTAGTCTATGGGGACACAGCTGACCTCTCATAACTTGAGTGGTATTTTTTTGGGACTAACTGCTTACCAATTTCCCTTGACTGAAACACTGATAACATCTTGTTCTGATTTGAATAATTTAGAGGATGCAGATTCAGATCAATGTGAAAAACCCAAAACACCTTAGCATGCAAACAGTTCTTAGGAAGAGAAACTTATTAGCCATCTGATATCTAAACATTGCTCTTATCCCTGAAAGTTATGTTATAACAACAGTCCTTCCATACTACACACTATCTAGGAAGCGGTCATCCTTCCTTGGAAAGATTCAAGCATTCTGCAGGAAAATCAGTGATATCCATGACATGAGCTACTGCGAGGAGTCTACCTAAGGAGCATGGTGTTACTGTGAACAGAGTCAAGGATCCAATGCAAACCCATCTGATACTTTATATGTACAGGGGACAGAAAAAACAAATGACACTGAGAAAGACCTACCCGGAGGCGGGGCACTGAGCCAAAGCAGACAGGTCTCCACTGCCCTGGGCTGAGAGCAATGAGCCAGGAGCATGGTGGCTTTGGAAAAAGTAGGAACTTATTTAAAGACCAGCCTCTCCTGACCTCATAGCCCAGAGTGCTCCAGAGACAGGAAAGGAGATAACTAAGGTGGCCAGTGTCCAGGATACGGGTGATGGCTAACCATCAACCCAAAACAAAGGTTTTTATGGGTGTCTCAGCATCTCATCACAGGATGAAAATAACCTTTCCCCTTTGACTGTGATGACCACTATAACCTGTTTTTAGAGAACTACTTCTCTCTTTAACAACTGAACTCACAGTTAGAGGGGAAAATTCTCTGACTTAGGTGGCTGGAAGGAAAGAAACAATTTACAAGATTAGGCCACTTGCTAGTTCTTACCCTCTCCAAACAGTATTTAGTACTGTTTTGAATAAGATATCTGCATTTTAAGAAACGAGAATCTAGAGAAACCCTTCATAATTAGGCCAGCTGGAACAGTACATGGAAACCTCAGGTTGTGTTGTATTGACCTATTTGGCTGTATATGCTAAACACAAATGTGATTTCAACCAATTAGTCCCACTTACTGAAACAAATGTTTTTTAATCATTGTATTTATTGCAAATATACATTGTATTACACTAACTGAGCTGGTAAAATACATTTTTTAAAAATGTTCTTTGTTGCCGGGTGTTGGTGGCACATGCCTTTAATCCCAGCACTCGGGAGGCAGAGGCAGGCGGATCTCTGTGACTTGGAGGCCAGCCTCCAAAACAATACAGAGAAACCCTGTCTTGAAAAAAAATGTTCTTTGTTAAATCACATGATCCTCTCACTAGATGCTGAAAAAGCCTTTGACAAAATCCAACACCCCTTCATGATAAAGGTCTTGGAGAGATCTGGAATAACAGGAACATATTGAAATATAATAAAAGCTATATACAGTAAACCAACAGCCAACATCAAACTAAATGGACAGAAACTCAATGCAATTCCGCTAAAATCAGGAACAAGACAAGGCTGTCCACTCTCTCCTTACCTTTTCAATATTGTACTTGAAGTTCTAGCCAGAGCCATACAATAACAAAAGGAGATCAAAGGAATATAAATTGGAAAGGAACAGGTCAAACTTTTCCTATTTGCAGATGATATGATAGTTTACATAAATGACCCAAAGAACTCTACCAGGGAACTCTTACAGCTGATTAACACCTTCAGCAAAGTGGCAGGATACAAGATCAACTCAAGAAAATCAGTAGCCCTACTATATTCAGACAATAAGAGGGCTGAGAAAGAAATCAGAGAAACATCACCCTTCACAATTGCCACACACAACATAAAATACCTTGGGGTAACGCTAACCAAACAAGTGAAAGACCTGTATCGCAAGAACTTTGAATCTTTAAAGAAATTAAAGCCCTCAGAAAATGGAAAGATCTCCCATGCTCTTGGATAGGTAGGATCAATGTAGTAAAAATGGCAATCCTGCCAAAAACAATCTACAGATTCAATGCAATCCCCATTAAAATACCAGCACAATTCTTCACAGATCTTGAAAGAACAATAATCAATTTTGTATGGAAAAACAAAAGACCCAGGATAGCCAAAACAACCCTGTTCAACAAGGCAATGTACGGAGGCATCACCATCCCCGACTTCAAGCTCTATTATAGAGCTATAATCCTGAAAAAAGCTTGGTATTGGCACAAAAATAGACAGGTAGACCAATGGAATCGAATTGAAAACCCTAATATTAACCCACACAGGTATGAACATCTGATTTTTGACAAAGAAGCTAAAAATATACAATGGAATAAAGAAAGCATCTTCAACAAATGGTGCTGGCATAACTGGATGCTGGCATTTAGAAGACTGCAGATAGATCAATGTCTATTGCCATGCACAAAACTTAAGTCCAAATGGATCAAAGACCTCAACATAAATCCAGCCACACTGAACCTCTTAGAAGAAAAAGTGGTTGGTACTCTTGAACGAATTGGTACAGCTTCCTGAACATAACACCAGTAGCACAAACACTGAGATCAACAATTAATAAATGGGACCTTCTGAAACTGAGATGTTGGGGGAAGTCCTGTGCATTTGTCAATAAAGTACTGTTGATCCAATAGGAAACCTAGATAGGAGGGACTAGGAGTCGAGGAGGATTCTGGGAAGGAGAAACACAAGAGAGTCGACATGTAACGCCATGAGGTAGGAGCCCGGAAACTTCTCCGGTAAGAGACATACTTAGATTAACAATTATGGGGTAATTACTTAAGGCAGAGCTAGCCAGTAAGAGACAAGCAAGGCCAACAGCTTCATAATGAATATAGCCTCCTGTGTGTTCATTTGGGGACTACAATGCGGCAGAGCCCAGGCGGCTGGCGGGGGATAAACCAAAGCGGCTAGCAAAGAAAAAGCTTCTCTTAACAGACTGAGAAGCTTCTGTAAGGCAAAGGACACAGTCAGCAACACAAAAAGGCACCCCACAGAATGGGAAAAAATATTCACTAACCACACATCTGACAGAGGGCCGATCTCCAAAATTTACAAAGAACTCAAGAAGCAAGTCTCCAAAACACCAAAGAATCCAATTAAAAAGTGGGCTACAGAACTAGAGAATTCTCAATAGAGGAGTCTAAAATGGCTGAGAGAGACTTGAGAAAGTGCTCAACATCCTTAGTCATCTGGGAAATGCAAATCAAAACAACTCTGAGATACCATCTCACTCCTGTCAGAATGACTAAAATCAAAAACACCAATGACAATTTATGCTGGAGAGGATGTGGTGAAAGGGGAACACTCCTCTACTGCTGGTGGGAGTGCCAACTGGTTCAGCCACTTTGGAAATCAGTATGAAGATTCCTCAGAAAAATGGGAATAAACCTACCACAAGACCCAGCAACTCCACTCTTAGGCATATATCCAAAAGGTGCTCATTCATACAACAAGGATATCTGTTCCACTATGTTCATAGGAGCATTATTTGTAATAGCCAGAACTTGGAAGCAACCTAGATGCCGCTCAACCAAAGAGTGGATAGAGAAAATGTGGTACATTTACACAGTGGAGTACTATCCAGCAGAAAAAAAAAAATACAACAGAATCCTGAAATTTGCAGGCAAATGGACAGCACTAGAAGAAACCATCCTGAGCGAGGCAACCCAGTCACAAAAAGAGAAACATGGCATTTATTCTCTCATATATGGATTTTAGACCTAGATCTGGGGAGTGCCAGCCTACAATCCTATGGCCAGAGGGTCTGGGAAACAGAACCTTCATTCAGTGGCTGATGGAAGCAGAGGCAGACTCCCACGGCTAAGCACTGAGCTGAACTCAAGGAACCCAGTGACAGAGAGGGAGGACTGATGACCAAAGGGATTAAGACTGGGCTGGTTTAACCCCCAGAAACAGCTGACCTGACAAGGGTTAGCTCTTGAATCCCAGACTGATGGCTGGGAATCCAGCATGGGACTGATCAAGACCCCCTGAATGTGGGTGTCAGTGAGGAGGCCTAGGTAATCTATTGAGCCTTGGGTAGTAGATCAATATTTATCCCGGATATACACATGGACTTTAGACTCCCATCCAATAATGAGAGATGCACTCTCACCCTGAACTCTCAGGGGAGGGTCTAGGCCCTGCTCTGGATGAAATGACAGACTATGGACACCCCCATGGAGGGCCTCACCCTCCCTGGGGAAATGAGGGGATATTGGGGGGGGGTTGGTGAGAGGTCGTGGGTGGAGGGGAGGCAATGGGACAGGGACCTGGAATTGACATTTGACGCAACCTTGTTTCTAATTTAAATTTAAAAATAAATATATATGTATATATTAAAAACTGTTCTTTATTTCTCCTGAAGTTCATTAGCAGTTTAACTCTTCCTGAACATCCTCTTTCCCTCAAGAAAAGGGGATATGGATGAGGTATGACTGCTTAGTGAGTTGTGGTTGCCTTTTAAAGAATAAAAACATTTGGAGCTTAATATAAGCAGTGGGTGCAAGCAATCTACTTGATTGTGTTATTAAATATGAATTCAACTAAAATACTTAGGGAAGAAAAAAAAGAGTCTACGAGAATGTTTCATGACCTACAAATAAGTCTGATTATTATTCAGGAAAAACATTAAAACTAGCATGCAGAAAACATCCTAGGGTCTAAGTAGCTCACAGCGACCAAACAGTCAGGGAATAGGAGTTGGCTACCCTGTGAGGAGACTTGAGTGGCTCACCCACAGACAGGAGGCGCCACGAGACTGCAGGGGTGGCAAAGCAGGCAAACACGTCATCGGTGCAGGAGAAGTGGGTGAGGTGGGGCAGGACCACCGACTGCCCGCGGCACTGGCCCCACATGTACACGTGCCCGCCCTGGGTCTTAGCGGCAGACGTGTGGGCGGAGTGACAGGCCGCAATCTCTATAACCCTGAAACATTGAAGAAAAACTCATGTTATTTCCTTACCACATGCGGCTCTAGCACACTCTATAGAGTTCATTTAGAAATTCATGCTGGAACACCTCACAGGTGAGCCCAAGGTCGGTGATGTAAGCATCAAAACCAAAGGTCAGGAAAGAGCTCCCCTAACCTCCCCACCTCCCCACCTCCTCTCTCTGTCTCTCTCTGAGGGCCCACTTCTCACCTAAGTTCATCTTGAGGTAGGAATATATAAATAATACATACTGTTGAGGCAAACTTGGAAAGAGACTGAAGTTAAAGTCAATGAGGACAATGGACAATGACAAAATGTCTTCACTGTTATGGGAATATAAACAGTACATAAACAAAAACTACTGGGGCTGGAGAGAGGGCTCAGGGGTTATGAACACTTCTTGTTCTTGTAGTGCACCTGAGTTTGTGTCCCAGCACCCACATGGTGGTTCACAACTATCTGTAACTCCAGTTCTAGAGGATCCAACGCACTCTTCTGACTCCACAGAACCAGACACACAAATGGTACACATACATACATGCAGGTAAAAAAAAAAAACCTCATACATATACACTAAGAAAATTTTAACTCTATTTTGTGTGTGTGTTCACTGGTGGGTGATGGTGGTGGTGACAGCAGTGTGCACATCTGTGTCAAGGCCAGAAGACAACCTCGGGTGTAATTCCCCAGATACTGCAAAGCTTTTTATTGGGATAGGGTCTCTAACTGGCCTGGCACTCACAAAACAGGCTAGGCTGGCCAGCGATGAAAAGCACACAACAGCACATATGTCTTTTAAATATGGGCTCTGGTGATCAAACTCATTTTACAAGCTCTTTCCTGATTCAACTATTCCTCTCCTCTCCACACGCACCCCCTTGTAAATTTTATCTTCAATAAACATTTCCGTATAGATATATTTCCCCCCTCATCTCAACCCAGAGTTCAGCATCTTCATTAGGATGAATGTCACCAGGCTGAAACTCTGAACATTCCAAACCAAAAGGGCATCAAGCCAGATCACTTCATTTTTCACAGTGCTCCTAAGGCAGGGAGGGTCCCAAACAAACTGCATAAAATCTCACAATTTGAGGAACAAACATTAAGTACCACCTATTCCAGTAGCAGACAATAAACCAAATCAATATTTAAATAGATATTGTCCTTTAAAGAGCAATATTTATTATTTTAAAGTGAATTTAGTCGGTACAAAGTTGTTGCTACACTGAATTTCAGTGTGATTGCAGACCCTAAAGAACCTCCCTACACAATGGACAGCTCTAAGTTTTTCAGAACTAAGATGCCTTAGTTCCTTTCAATCACAGGTGAATGCCTCAGAAGACAAGGCAAGTTCACTCTGACTTAAAACATTTTGGTCAAAATGAGAATGTTAATAAATAAAGTCACAAGCTAAACACCACAGCCCTGCCCCAGTCCCAAGACCACACACAGTCTTCTAAACATGGCATGGCAAATTTACCTTTCTTTTTCCACCATGATGGGTGTTGGGCTTAGCAGATTATTTTTACTGCCAGTTCCCAGCTGCCCATATGTGTTAGCTCCCCAGGCATAGAGCAAGCCCTCATCTGTTAGCGCCAGAGTATGTGCATACCCGCAGACAATCTGAAAGAAGACACAAATGGTTACCATCCTAGAACACAGACAGGACAGAGCAACCACCTGCTTAGGCCATGTCTGGCCTCTGCAGAATGCCAGGTCATCAGCATGTGTGGACTGGCATCTGCTGGAATACTCAGAAGCATCAGGGAAGTCTATTTCTTTAGCCACTGGACTTCTTATGAATTTCTTTGCCCTGCGAAGAAGACCACATCCAATACCATGGGCTTCTCTTTTCTAACAGAAAAATAGGAAGGCTAAAACATTAAATGTGAAAAGTGAAGGCATAAAGAATTGCCAGAAATGAATGACAAAAGAATGTTCAATACATCTACCATGAAATGCATGGCAAAAAAAAAAAAAAGCAATGCGTACCTGGTTGACACACACGTTTTGCAGAGCTGCCACTCTCACTGGGGTCAACTGGTTACCATTGTTTCCCAAGCCCAGCTGTCCATTGCCATTATAGCCCCAGCCATACACCTGAGAGAGAAGAGAGGACAAGTTATGGAACCTGCCAGTGGGACCAGAAGTCCTGTCCTACACAAATCAGATACTCCCAAACCTGTACTGTACACTATGTGATCCTACAAATGTAATTCAGAGGGTCTGAGGGTGAAGATGACTGTCTTTATTCCCATTCCATGACTCCACAAATGAGAACATTGAGGGTTATTAATGATTAGCAAGCACCTATCACATATCTTACACAGTAAAAGGCACTAAGAAGAAGTCTTTAGCCAAAGTTTAACAAAGGCAATGAACATGCGCATACTTGGTGAACAGGTAGTATGAGCCACAACAGAGATCATCAAGGCCCTGCAGGAACAGTGAGAAGATGTCTTCCTATCACAATGTTAGAAAGTGGAGAGCCAAGCAGTAGATGATGGCACTCCAGGCAGAAGGCATACAGAGTGTCACGGCAGAGACAGAAGATAAGTAGGAAGAATAGTGGAGGAAGAAAAGAAGAGCCAGATAATTAACTAAAAAATGAAAATCAAAACAAACAACAGAAACAAAGCTAGGCATCATATACATGCCTGTAATCCCAGCTCTAACAATGCAGAGGCAGGACACTGCCACAAATTCAAGGCAAGCCTTGGCTACATATCAAGGCAAGGGTTACACAGCAAGATATCACCCCCAAAACCAAAGCAAAACAAAGGGGCAAACATACAAAACAAAAGAAAGTGGAATACATCAAAGAACTTTTACTACAATACTCACAAACAGAGATTAAATTTTCACTTTTAAAAGATCACAGAGACAAGGGTGAGCGGGTGACAGACAAAAAACTATTTAGTAGGTAATTTCATGTTCCATCAATGAACAAGTGAGCTCTCATAAGGCTGTGAGCTAAGACAGGCCAGAGGACCAAGAGACTGAATGGGTAAGGAAGGGGCTGAACAGGGGAATCATAGAACTGGTGGTCTCTCAGGTGTTTCCTATGGCATGAATCATCTGCTGAAAGTATTAGCAGCTGGCATAGGATAGCCAGGAGGGTTAATGGTTTGGAATATCCAGTGTGGGCCACAGTAATAAATTCTAACCAAGAACAGATTTTAAAAGGTCATGTTCAAATTAGGTGCCTAAAGGTCCTGGTGGCACCAAGGTCCACAGGGACACAGGCAAATGCACAGTGGGGCTTTCAGGACAAAGTAGGAAGGGGAAGAGAATGAGAGGTGGCTACAGGTCATTTCATCAAAGACAGAAGTTTCACAGGTACTGGCCTTCTGGAAAGAAATTTGGCAACAGTTATTCATATCCTTAATGGCATACTTCTTGACCTAAAAATTCTATGCTGGAAATTTATTCTATAGAAATACCTACATGGTGTACCAAGATATACACACAGTAACAGACAATCAAGGCATCATTATTCACAACCATAAAAAATTACAAACAACTGAAAAGTCCTCAGCAGAGTCCAGGTGTCCGTCACCCACAGACGCAAACTAAGCAGCATTCTGAGAAGCGCTGCAGAAATGGTCTGAGACAGCCCATCAGCAAAGCACATGCTGTGTCAAGGAACAGCCACAGAAAGACAGAAAGAGGCAGCAGTGTGTGATTCTCAGTCACATTTGCTAAATAAGGCAATTAAGCTCATCTGTAAGTAACTGCTTATAAAGAAAAGTCCACAAGAACACACATGAAACTCCTAACGATTTGGAAAAGGCTATTTAATGTTTACTCTGTATGCTTCATTGTCCTCCCCTTTGTAAAAGAAACCACGTAATAATAATTAAACTTAGTGGTTCAGCAATTAAGAGAGGGTACTGCTCTTAAAGACAACCTAGCTTAGTTTCCAGCAGAGGACTCCCAACAGCCTGCAATTCCATCTGTAAAAGACCTGACAGCCTCTTTTGAACTCAATGGGTATACTGCATTCTTATGCACACACTGACACACTTAAACGCATAATTAAAAAATGGTAAAAATAAATCTTAAAAAAAAAGCATGGCAACACTGAACAGAGATTATTGGATAATTGCCCACAGAATTCTGAAGTATTATTCAGGGATGATAGCAAGATTGAGAAAAAAAAGTCAACTTAGGCAAGTACTAAGTAACATGTACAGCACCCCAAACCCACTGCATAGTGCCATACCCAAAGACTGTATAATCAATCCCTACGCACCAAGGAAATGTAGGTGGTACATGGCCCATTGCATCAGTCCCTTCATAGAAGTAACCATCAGCTCAAAAGGGACGGTGGTACAGGGCAGTGGGTAGGTTTATAAAAGTAGCTAGCGATGATCCACCAATTAAAAATGTGAGATGTTGTAGGTGGTTTGATGAAGAATTCATTAGCTGTCTTTAAAAATGCACAGGTGACTCTTCCACTGGAAGAAAGGTAGTTCTTTCTCAGTCGACAGCGTTAAATCCAAATACCTATATGGATTAGACTACACCCCCTGTCTTTACCATGAGGCTACAAGGATCTTACAAAAACTAAAGACACATAGGATTTTTACTTGACATCTTTGTTTGAAGTCATTCTCAGGATTGAGTGAGCACTAGCACGTCCTCCTTAGGGGTCAGTTAACCAAGACAAACTCCTCCTCGGCATGCTGGCACCTTTGAATGCACGTGGAGGGGACAGGGAAATGACGACTACGAACCTCACCACTGTCCAGAACAGCCATGGATGAGGTCTGACCACAGGCAATGCCGACCACTCTCTTAGTATGTAAACAGCTTGTAACTTTCCGAGGAGTTGGCTGATTTACTGTAGATCCTGATCCCACCTGACCACAATTGTTATAGCCCCATGCAAATACCTACAAAAGAAGGAACAAGGGAGACCAGTCATTAGACCTTTGGTTTTGAATGCTTTATGTGCACTTACCCACTTATCTTCATAGTAATCCCATACAGTGGCCCTGGGGTAAGTATTCCATCCCTTGGACAATAGACATATAGAGCCCAACTACTGTACTATGCTTTTGACAACTGTACTACAGTGCCCCTCTAAGTTTGACAACTACATAGATTGATACATTTTGTTAATTTTGGAATTAATAAGGCAAAACACCAACGATGTACAAAGCACACTCAATTATTAGGACACAAATTTTTGTTGTTTCTCATGGAAAGCTTTCCAAATTATATTGTTCTTTCCCCTGTCTCACAAATAAACAATTGCTGTCTCATCAGGACTATTGTTGAGGTCAGGCTGTGCCCCGCCGTAAGTAACTTCACATTGCATAAAATGTTTTTGAACTGTGCCTTGCCCTGAGAGAGTCCATCTTATAAGCAGCTTTTTACTCTACAAAAAAAAGATGATGACTCTGCACTTAGTGGACACCTAAATAGCACCATCTGTCTGACGCCACCCCACAAGACACAGAATGATAAATAAGAGTGCTATGGTATAAACTTATCAATGTAAACTGAGACTGTAGGAGCCCACCAGCACATTAAAATTATATCAGAAAAACCAAGCACAAGAACTTATCAGACACATCAGACTAAGAAAAAGGTGCAAGTGCAACCCTCTTCCTTGAATTCCATAAAGAACACATCCGACTCTGCACTGGTAATGACCCCACAGGTTTGTCATGTGACTACTATGTACGGGAAGCAGAGAACTCCCAACTGTCCTGGGGGCTTCAGGTCAACATGGACACCCTGCTGACAATGCCAATTCAAATTTCTCTGCACCTGTCTAGACCCACTGTCCATTCACCTGCCCATTCATCCATCTGAACCCAATCCTACCCCTTGCCTCTAGAGCCTCTACTCCACCTCGCTTCTGAAGCTCAATTCTGACCCCACACCCTGACTCCAGCAGCAGCAAGCACCTCTCCCAGGGAGATGCAGCCTAAGTTCATCTTAGTCCCACAGAGACTCTCTTTGCACCTCCATCAGCTTTTGCAACTCAGGTCTCTTTGAAATGCCTTAACTCTGCTATGACCTCTTTACCCCTCTATAACATTTATCACACACACACACACACACACACACACACACACACAGAGCAATATAATGTGTGCTCTGAGAGTTAATGTAATTAAGTAATTAAGACTGGAATATATAATTTGTGATGGCCTTCAGCCAAGGCTACCAAGGGAAGCAGAGATACTTGACAAATTAACCAAAGTGCTGTACCTTGTCAATTTACTGTTACTCAAAAAACTCTGACATTATGTAGACACAAACATGCTGGTCTATGTTTCTGACACAGTATATTTCCAAAAACCATCAAGCTTGTAACTTTCTACTGTAGATTCTCACCATAACACAGTAATAGTAATAGTCATAAGTGCTAAGGACATGTCTGTTCATATATAAACACCACTAATCATTAGACTATAACTTTCTACTGTAAATTCTCACCATAACCCAGTAATAGTCGTAAGTGCTAAGGACGTATCTGTTCCTACATAAATACCACTGATCATTACATTGTTCTTCTAGGTACTTGGGTTCTCTCTTGCTACCTGTCAACTTTGCACAACTTACTTTTGCTATTATCTACCATAATCTGAATATTAGATTTTTGTTTGGGACCCACAAAAGGGTTTCTATGCTAGTCAAAAACCAGAAACAAATATATGAAAAGCAAAACAGAAACCCAATGTTCTGCCAATGGCCACACCCTTCAAAGACAAACAAACAATGGTATCCCTGCCTCTCACAGCAGCTCTCAACTGCCAATAGCTCTCAGTGAGGAGTGGAGCCTGGAGATATAACCCCGTCTCTTGAGGGGATTTGGGTTGACTTGGTCTTATGTGGGTAACACAGCTGCTGTGAATTTCTGAGTAGGATGGGGACGTGTTTAGGAAAGGATATAGGAGGACCTGGAGGAGGAATTGGAGAATGAAGAGGCTTAATGGCAGAAGAAAGAACCTCTTTGAACAGGAACAGAATTTCTAAAGCCTACATTCACCCCACTCCTTTGCCCGTGACAAGCAGTTTCCGCATATCCTCAGTTTGGATTCTACATCTTTCTTCCCTGTCAATACTTTGTAATTTTACATGTTTGATGCTGTTCAGACAACACTCCAAGATACTGCTGATGTCTTGACTCTGAAAACCCAGATGAAATATGCATTTTACAGGTAGAAGAAAAATAACACATACTTCACTAAGGGACAGTCATAGAAATATCTAGTTTAATAATACAGGGAGTCTGCACTTTTATCGAAATTAACACATGCTAATGATTAAAACAAAGCAGAATCCAGGCTTCAGAAATGAGCAAGATCTGTCTAACTTCACTCATCACTCCTCAGGTACTTCTGGAACATTCCAAGTTCCTTAAAAACACCACTGCCTTTCATTTTAAATGGGCAAAGACAGTGGGTTTGGACACAGCCTGTGTGCTAGGCCTATCTCTGATACATGAAACCTGGTCACCATCAGGTTTGTGGTATTTTTCTCTCTAATTTGTTCCCAACTGGGAGAACTAACTAACACCACTAGAGAAGTTTAAGCAAGGAACAATGTGAGTAACCTAATTTGTGCTTTAGAAATCACAGAGGGCCAGGGAAGACTGGATACTTGAACTCCAAAGTTATTAACAAAGACCAATGCCAACAGTGCAGACAGGAGGCAAGCCTCAAGCAAAGGTACGAGGTGGGGCAACAGGTACAGAGGTCAAGGGGAGAGCGAACAGATAAGCATGGACTCTAGACTAAAGAAGTTACTCATACACTGCTCGGAAAGTTGTTTTCTCCAAATTACTCACACTGAAAAAGAAAATGCACCCTAAGAAAGGGGGTCCTTAGACTCTTACATGTCACATTTAATTTGTGATCGTGGCAAAGAGCACGAATGTGAACACTGAGTTCTCTCATAAAAAGCTGCTGGTGAAGGAGGGCCATGTCACAGGAGCAGCGGGTGGCACTGGATTCAGGTCGGCCACCAGAATGCAAGGCACCGATGGGCGACTGTGACAGGCAAGGCTCCCAGGGCTTCGGCTCCATAATGTCTCTTGCTATTGCTGCGCCTTTACATGCTTGCCACTGCCATTCTTCTCTGGTAGCTGGCATGGTGTGAATGGTCTGGGGAGACCCCCACTGCCTTTAATGTAGTGTGAATATCTCATGGAAACATTCCATTCTACTGGACATTTTTACTGAGGATTATGATGAAGATAACTTCCTCTTAAGCTGTACTGTTTAACAAGCGATGAATTTATACAACAATAGTGTTAGTTTAAGTAGAATTTTGATGACTGAGGGTTTTAAATAAATATAGTAAGGGATTATTAAGAGGTTAGTTTAGGTAAAGGTAGAATACAATGTTGCCTCCCCCTCTGGTAGAGCAGGGGTTGCAGAAGACAGAAAAAAGAACAAGGAAGTGTCACAGAGCTGGGACTTAGGAGCCATATATACTGTGGCTTAGGATAACAATTAAGGAAAACAACTGAGTCCCAGCTAGGCTAGCTCAAGTTCTTTTAATCTTAGTGTTGGGAAATTTGCTCATAGGTTTCTAGTGTGCATCTTAGCTGAAATAAAGCTTAACTAAAGATTTAGGGTTAAGCTGTTTTCGTTAATGGCTTTGAGACAGAAAATATTGGGGAACAGTTTAAAGTTTAGAAAGGCGCACTTTTATTAGGTGAGTGAAGGACTCACTGAGGTCATGGAACGAAAATAATGACAGCCTGATTACTGTTAGCTTCTTGGGAGGATGGGTTAGTGATCAAGGGTGATAATTCCTTGTACCCATTTCTGCACTCAGTTTCCTGATATATATGAAAGTTTAGATTTGTGATTATTTAAGATTTTTCTATAAGATTATCTTTTGAGATAAATAATAAAGTGACTGATCCTTTGTAACTGCAAAATGCAGCCTGCCAGTAAAAGAACTGGCTGAGGAGAATACCTTGCTTACACTCTGTTAATCTATAACAAATTGCTTAAATATGAATGTATGTGGATTCATTGGGATAATCTGTTTTTTACTTATAATATGTATAATGTTTGGTCATGTAAGGGGCATGGAAAATATGCTGTTATTTACTTGTATTCAGTTTAATCAATCAGTTAAAGAAATAGAATGTAACCACGTTGTAATTTTTATACTGCTTGAGAGATTTTGCTGGGGTATATAAGTTGTAAGGCAAAAATTAAGAAGAAACAGAAGGGATACATCTGGATAGAAGAAAAGAAATAAAAAGATGAGAGAGAGGTGATGGAAAGACTCTAAAGGTATGTGTGTATGCTTTTCCCTTTTTTTAAAATTTAAATTAGAAACAAGATTGCTTCACATGTCAATCCCAGGTCCTTCTCCCTTTCCCTCCCCTCCTCCCACGCCCTCCCTCCAACTCCCCCCATATCCTCTTGTCTCCCCAGGGAGAGTGAGGCCCTCCATGGGGGTGTCGATAGTCTGTCTTTTCATCCAGGGCAGGACCTAGACCCTTCCACTTTTCCTGTTTTCGCAGGCCCCAGACAGTTAAGTTTCCCTGCTCACTGGCCCCAGAGAATTAAGTTTTACTCCTTTAGAGAGAAGAGCCAAGTGCTTAGTTTGCCAATTCTGTGGCTCTCCCTCAATTCCAAGCTGCTGAAGGCAGCAAAAAGGGTTTTTTGAAGCCAACAAGGTAACTCCCAGGTAGAGAGAGACACCTGAGTTCTATCCCTATACAAACATTGTAAAAGGAGAGAACCAGAACTGACTCCCACAAGCTGCCCTTTGACCTCTACATGCATACTATTGCACAGCCCCCAAATAAAAGCAATTAAAAGCTTTTATTTAGGGGCTGGAAAGATGGCTCAGTGGTTAAGAGCACACTGACTGCTCTTCCAGAGGATCTGGGTTCAATTTCCAGCACCCACATGGCAACGCACAACTGTCTGTAACTATAAGATCTGACACCCTCACACACACATTACATGCAAGTCAAAACACCAATGCAAATAAAAATAAATTATTTATTTTTAAAATTTTTATTTAAAAGATTTTTGTTAAGTTTATTTTTTAATTTGTTGCGACAAGTTCTTCCTCTGTGACATAGGCTAGCCTAGAAATCTCCATCCTGCTTTCAAGTCCTTGGTGCTGGGACATGTACACACCAAGTCCAGCTAAGGGTAATTCTGACAATATGACACAAGTATTACTGGAGAAATAATGCATTCAAATGGGTTTTATCATTTGACTGTTTTTAACTACAATGTCTAACAATAGCTACTGAATAGTGGAAATGTTCCATATACCCATCAAGTGGAATGAAATAGGCCTAGAGTAGAGCACTTGCCTAGTATATGTGAGGCCATGAGTTCAATTCCCAATATCCCTTTCACACACACACAAATGTAACATGTATACACCGGAATATTATTCAGTCTTAAAAGGATACACATAGAAGAGTACTATGAAATGTCTTGTGGATATGACACAGCTATTGCATTAATGAACTCATTACAGTTATTGTTACTTGCACAGTCAATAAGATCAGTCTAGTCCAGGAGCACTAACTCAGTGGGTTCCCTCCCCTCCCCAAAAGAGGACATAAAGGTAGGCGGAGCAGACAGGAGGGGTCCTGAAGAGTGGATCAACGAGTTACAGAGGATCAACATTGTACATAAATGTACAAAATTGTCATACACCAGAGAAATGAATGAACTTGAGGACACTGTGCTAAGTGAAATCAGTCACAAAAGGAGATATCATCTGCTTCTAAGTACAGGCGGTACCTAGAGTGATCAGTTACAGGTCAGGAAGAAGTGACATTTAACAGATTTGCAGTCTCCGTTTCTTAAGATGAAAGATGTCTGTTAGCTGACAGACCAAACAGTGTAAATGTATTTAATACTACCAAGCTGTGTGTTCAACATGCTTATGATAATAAGCTTTGTATTATGCAGTTTATGACAATTCTTTAAAGGAATCAAAGAGCACACTTACCTCTCCATCAGCTGCTAAAGCCATCGAATGATGTGAACCACAAGCTACCTCAACCACCTGCTTGATCAAGAGGTTGGTACAGACTTGGACAGGAGCAATGCCTTGATTGGTGGTCCCATTCCCCAGCTGGCTGTATCCATTATGGCCCCAGGCGTAGACAACTCCATCTAAACACACAAGCACATGAAGCACTAGCTCCAACAGAACTGCCAACCCCTGCAACTTCCACACTCTAGTATCTGTGTCCTCCTCTCTATAAGATAACCACTAGTAGGGAGTCAGGGAGCAAAGGATTGGAGAATAGAGAGGACAGAGGCAAACCTTTCATGAAAGGACTTGGCACTTGTATACAAGATCAGTTTTGTGGTCAAGTCAAAGTTCATGTATAAAAATAGGTTTCTCTATATTGGACTCTTACAATAGGATAAGAGGATCTTGAGTTCATGGTCATTCTTAGCTACACAATGTATTTGAGGACAGCCAGGGCTACACGAAACAAAAACTTTGGAGATGGAAAATCGACAGACATTGTAACTAACAAAGCAAACCAGAAAAGGCATCAGCCTACATCTGCAAAAAAGGATGTGGGCACGGAGCCAACTGTAGCCCTAAATTTCCAATATGTGCCACTAGTCATAGGAGATTCATAGCAAGGACATGCTGTGACTCTCCTGTCATCACCAGGTGGAGCTGGGTTGTGTGGTATTGTAAGAATTGGGTGAGGACTTAGGGCACACTCGCACTCTCTCTCTCTCTCTCTCTCTCTCTCTCTCTCTCTCTCTCTCTCTCTCTCTCTCTCACACACACACACACACACATACACACACATGCACACGTGCGTGCACCATGCACAAACATGTGCATTAATAAAATTTATTTACACATGGTTTTAGTAAATTAATCTTCAGAACATACGTAGGAAAGAAAATTAAGAAAGTCAGGTCAGAATCTCTTCTATATAAGAACAATTCTAAAAAGGACAGAGCAGAAAAACAGAAATTATCTATGAAAAGTTATAAAAATGTTATCTAGAAATGAAGGCAGGACCTACAGGTTACTAATAAGCTTAAAAAGTGCCCACTCCAAAAGAGCCATGGTTTTCAAGATATCTGAAACAGAGAGAAAGATCTCTCTCTCATGTTCAAACAGGAGGAAATAGTCACACAAAAAGTCGAAGTGGGGCTGAGCACAAGCATGATGTCCCAAGTTCAAACCTCGGCACAAGTGTAAAAGGCAGGGCCTGACAGCTGCACAGTGATCTCAGAGCTGGGAGGCAGAAGCAGGAGGACCCCAGGGGCTCATGGGACAACCAATCTGTCATTGGATGAACTCCAGGTTCAGGGAGAGACCCTCTCTCAAAGATACAGATAGAAAGGAGCCTCCACATGTGCACACACGCATGCACTCACACAGGAAGAATGGAGGTTAGTATGGAATTAGAGTCAATGCTGAGTTGTAAAATGCACCATGACTTAATAGTATGAGAAAACAGACTCCCACCCTATGACAGTCAAACCACTGAGTCACATCAGTGAGAGTGAAATAATGATACCCAAGACAGAGACTCGAAGATTTCTCTCAGATCCCTTTCTTGGAAAGTTTCTAGAAAATGTGTTTCCCAGATGAGGGTAGAACCCAAGGAGGATAACATTAGACATATACACAAATAGGGACTAGAAAGGATGAAGTGGAGAGACTTTTGAGGATGACAGTGAAGAGAAGTTTTGGGCTGGCAGCTGTGCAGGTGGCCTGAGAGTGTAACCAGTCAGTTCGGTGTTCTGGAGGACAGACAGGGCTCCAGAGACCATCTGATATGTGTTACTCTGCCAAATAGTTAGACACATGTTAATGATAGATGTATATAGGTGTCAGGAAGTGAAACGTTCAAAGCAATTATTAACCTGGGGGGGTCATACAAGAAGGGAAAGGCTCTACTACAAATAATATTTATACAGTCCCCAATAATGAAAACATCAATACTAAGTTAACCAAAATGGTAATATTCATGTGTTTAAAGGATAAAGGCAAGAAAGAGAACAAAAAGCTAATTCAATCTGCCACAGTACAAAGGTAAAAATATAATACCCAAGTTCAGAAACTCAGATGTAGAAACATAAATACCTTATTTTAAAAACAGGAAAGAAAATGGGCTGGAAAAAAATGGCTCAGTGGGTAAAAGCCCATGCTACACAATCCTAAAAACCAGCATACAAAAAGCTGAATATGCACACATCTGTAATCTCAGCACTACAGAGGGATGGAAGGCAGAGGCAGGAGAATCTCCCAGAAGCCAGCCTGGAGTACACAGCACAGCAGAAACAATATAGGGTGGAATGATGGGTCAGCAAGATGACTCAGTGGGCAAAGGTACTTGCTCTCAAAGATGCAGACCCAAGAGAAAAGAACTCCAAGATCTGTCCTCTCAAACCCTATGCATACTGTGGCACACATGCTCACACTCATACACAAGCACAACAATAATAATAAATATGAGAGGAGTGATTCCTTCTAAACAGTAGTTCAATCCCCAGCACTGCGCGCGCACACACACACACACACACACACACACACACACACACACACACACACTCATTCTCTCTCTCTCTCTACACCTACCTGTACTCAAACATGAACATACATTTACACACCCAGTTTTTAGATGATTTGATTGATTATAATACACATAATATAGTAATCAATCATACATATGGTATACAATGTGTACATTGTTTAATATATATTGCATAAAATGAACTATAAAGATAAAATTAAACATAAAAAGAAAGTATTTCTCCCCAAGTCCTAATTATTTGTATACTAAATTTAATACTCAGGATACTTAAAACACATTGTTTAGACTATAGCATAATTCCTAAGGATCATGACAGCTTCCAAAGGTCATAATTTGACCTTTAATTTGGCTAGTAATTTGAGAATATGTCTTTTAGTGATTTGCAATATTAAATAAAAATGTTCTTTAGTGTTTAGGGTCAGATATCAAGAACTGGCTATGACTGCTGTGTCTGGAAAATTTCAAACCCTTAGGCCATGATGGGGAAGAGTGAGCCAGTTGGTAGAACATCAGCTGGAAGGGCCAAGTGGGGGCAATCAAATGATGACTCAAAGCAGTTGTGACAGAGCTGCCTTACTATGCTCAAACAGTCAGACTCCTGTATGAGGATTGGCTCTCACAGCCCTGAGAGAGATGCAGAGAACACAGAGTGAATTCAGATTAGAGTCACTGGAAGCCACACACAAGGCAGACACAGAGGCTGCTGAGGCAGCATCCATGGAAGTCGAGGTTCCTTAGTGCAAACACACAAAGCAGAGATGCCAGACACAAGGTAGACACAGAGGTTGAGTCAGCATCCATGGAAGTCGAGGTTCCTTAGTCCAGACACACAAAGTGGAGTTGTACTGTCTCCCACAGGCTGCCCTACAGAACCATCTAAAAAAAAAAAGAGTGCCTCTATGGGGATAAAAGACCTAACACTCAAAGGGAAGAAGTTACACATGACAAACTTTCAGAGTGGCGCTTGCTCATGGTATAGACAATTACCACAGGAGACTATCCATGCTTCTTTGGTGACCTTGGTGAGGGACAATAAAAAGACAAGAATCTGGTCACTGTTCCTATCCCTTCAATATGGCACCCACATGGATGTTCTTCAGGATAAATTAAGATATTCTGACTCAAGATTCAGCAACTACACAAAGGAGAAACACAGATTATGTGAGTTTATAGTAATATACCAAAGAGGTTAACAGTATGTACTGCTCTTCCAGAGGACCAAAGTTCCCAGCGGCACATCAGATGGCTCACAACCACCTGTAACTCCAGCTCCCTGGGAATGTAAGACCTCTGGCCTCTGCAGGCCCTGTGCTAAGGTGAATATCCCCGACACTACATATAGTTCAATAGATGTATATAAGCCCTCTCACAGTCAGTTACCCTGTGTCCACACATCCACTGAAACATCACTCAGACTGGAGGAACCTTTGACCTGTCCAGCATTCTGCAATTTACACTGAAAGTCTAAGAACCTTAGAGACAGTCTCTGTACAAGACACACTGAGACTATTCCAGTTGGCCTCGCATGTCCTAAATTTTACCTTCTTTGTATACTCTCCAGAAATAAAGAACAGTCCAAAGCTAGTTACTTGATACAGCACTCCCTTTTCTTGGCTCAGAAATTAACTGTCCAATTACCCACAAACCCCAAAGGCAGTTTCCCCTTTTTACCTTCAGTGCTGAGGAGGACATGGGGGCCACTCCCATAACTAAGGCTTTTGATCTTTTTTCCACATAAGGCTTCTAGTTTCTTGGGCACCAGAGTGCTCTGGTTATCTCCAGTTCCTAGACAGTTACTGTAGTTCAGTCCAAACACGAAGACCTAGAAAACAAATACCTTTGCCTAAGTCACCTGATATGAAATCACATTGAAAGCTCCTTTCCCTACTCAGAAAATAAGATACACTCAAGTCTAGTTTGACAGCCCAGGCAGCAAGAAGAGACTAAAGATACTAGGAAATCTTCAGCCTCTGCTGACAATACTCAGGCTCTGCAGGATTAGTCTACACTACAGAGCAGAAGGTATTAGAACACGACACTGGGAAACACATCAGAGGTACTCTTCCTCAATTCCAGATTCTTTTTATCCCAAACCTACTCCCAGCTTTCAAACTACAGGGTTTTAAGTGCAACCCCCAAACAGGTTCCCAAACAAAACTCCAGTCTCCAGTCTTACCTCGTCATTGTCAGTGACATAGATAGCCTCATTGGCAGACGTACCAAAGACACATGCTTTCCTGATTGATGCAGTGTCCTGGGGTGAAATCAGAGTAAAGATTGGCCACTTTCCTACATCCACCATGACTCTGGCTTTGGGTGATTCCTATAAATAAGCTGACATCTCTGCTGCAAGAGTTAAAAAGTATTTCAAGAAAAAAGTAATAACCACTACACCAACTTTAACAAGAGTTTCATCAATTATTATTAATAAAAGCTACCAAAAGATAACCCCAGAAAAATTGACCTACCTTTATGGAAATGGGTCACATTCACTTCCCCAGTGTGTCCAATCCTCTGGCCTTTAAAATCAGGCCTCTCCCTGAAATGAGGGTACAGCATACTAGAGTCACAAGTTTCTCTTGCCAAATTCCAGCAGACTTACTGTTATACACATGCACGTGTTAGTATCTAACAAAGAGAAAGCTGGCGACCTACATGGATCTGGACTCTCCTAGGGATAGTTCACTCAGGGATTCAGATTAAAATTACAGTACTAAGCCAGGTATAGTGGTGCACGCCTTTAATCCAGCACTCTGAAGGTAGCGGCAGGTGGATCTGTGTGAGTTTGAGGTCAGCCTGGGTTATATAGCGACTTCCAATACAGCCAGAGCTATATAACAGAGAAAGACTCTCCCAACAAAACAAAAATTACAATCCTAACTTATGTGCCAGTTCTTAACTAGGAGGGGAAGTGGATTAGGAAAATCAGCAGCATCATCTCCACCATCATACTCACACAAAGCCAGGGCACCTGAAAAGCTCATTCCTTGCAGAAAACCCCTGGCACCCAAGCCACTGCTTCATGACAATAACATGGAGTCCCTCAGAAAGCCGAGAGTAGGTAAAGCTGCAAGAGGCACCAAATGAAACTGTCTACATACTGACACACAGTTTTCATCTCACATTTACAAAGATAACGCAGTTTACTTCAATCTGGGTGCTGAGCTGATGTCTGAGCTTCAGGCCAGGCTTGGTTAGCTTAAATGGTGTTCTACATAAAGTAGATATGACTCTGTTTATGGAGTTTTATGCAAACAATCTTAGGTGGAGCTCTTATTTCTGCAAGGTGGACAAGAAGAGGTGGGACATTAGAGGGTCTGTACAAACACAAACCCTATCACACTAGTGGATTTCCACGCTGGCTCTCACCTCTGCAAACAACAAAACCAGGCTCTCCTGATGAGGACCAAACTGCTCAAGTTCCCACTTCTCCCCACTGCTCTCTGAAAACAGCTAGGAAAGGCAGTTCTCTCTGCTCTAACACCTCGTCACTTAACACATTCTGAGAGAACCTTGGCTCAACACACCAGCCAATGCCTGAACTTCTACAATCCAGACACTTCTCCCAACAGCACCAACCTCCACAAGGATCAGAGGCTTAGTCCTGAACATCGTATCACACATTCAATGAGGGGTGAACACCACAGACCATCACTAGAGGGGTCTGTCACTGCAGCCAGACACCTCTAGTGATACTTAAGCATCCTTAAGGATGGCAGGGGTTGGGGGAGGGACAGACACATAAGCACAAAAAAACTGTTTCAAATGATACAAAAGAATATTGGAAAGTTGAGTCTCCCCTACATTGAAAGCAATCACTCATATCAATGGTTTGTAATTCCTTCCAGGGGTAGGCAGTGAATACCCAGGACTATGGTAAGTGTTTATATGTGATCTGTATGAGCGTACACGACAGGTATGTGTTTTAGAACAAAACACAAACATCCCTTTTATCCCCTTCTTACTAGTGGAAATTGTTCCCGCTTAGCACTAGGAAAGCTACATCACTTCAACAGTTCTAAGGTATTCCATTACCCTAACGTAACAAATTACTTGTCTCTTACTAATACACATTTAAGGAATTTGCAGCTTTATTCTGGAACACTGGAAGTATTGCTTGAATACAATACTGAGTAAATGTCTTATTTTATACATAAATTTCTAAAAATGAAATTGCTTGGTCCAGGTCTAATAACTATTTTACCCTTGACAACTATTTCAAATGGCCCTTTTAAGTCACCATAAACATAGAAGGGCATTTGTTTACCCTTGATTTATAAGTAAGGTTAGATTATCTCAAGACAGAGACAGAGGGCAGATGGAGAAGAGGAAGAAGGAAGAGAAGAGAGGAGTGAGCAAAAGAGATGTCCCCAAAATGTCAGGTTTGTGTCTCTTACTGAACAAATGGGGCAGAAGCCATGTGTGATGTAAATGCCTTTAAGCAGGCTGCTGCCAAGAAAATTCAGAAGCACCTTTTCCTTACAGAATTTGAATTCCTTACAGAATTTGTCTTAGCCATTCACATTTTTATGATATACAATTCACTGAAAACATAAGACTCAGGGTCAGCAAAATCGGTCAATAACTGGTCAAAACTGGTCACCTCTTGTCAAGCCTGAGGATCTGAGTTCAATCCACAAGTCCCATATGGTAGAAGGACAGAGCCAACTTCCAAAGCTAACCTATGTCCTCCATACCCACACCACGGCACACTCACATCTTCATACAGATTTTTTACATTGTAATGTAAGAAAATTTAAATGCACATAGACCGTGGACTACAGCTCAGCTGATACAGTGTTTTCCTAGCAAGCACAAAGTCCTAGGTTCAGTTCCTGTAATCACAACACTGTAGAAATGAAGGCAGAATCACAAATTCAAAGCCATCCTTATCTACACAAGAATTATGAGACCAGACTGGGATATGTGTGTGTGTGTGTGTCTCTCTCTTACACACACATACACACACACACACACACACACACACACACACACACACACACACACAAATTCAGGTATGCCAAGGGGGGCAGTGAGAGATTGATTCACTCTACTTCTCAAAAATCATAACACAAAGGTGTTATTATCACTCAAAACCACACAAATTCCAATGGTACAATTATTCTGAGACAGGCAACTCTGCCTTCAGGGCCTGACAATTTCCTTCAAGGTCAAGCACACCTTCTAAATGAGGGTTAATTTTATGAGCAGAGTTTGCATGTGGCTAAATTAGGTGAAGCCTTATTTTACAAGGCATTTCTCCAAAGGCTGGTAATTTATATACTTTTTAAGAGTGAATATAAAAAACCGCTCAGGCACACCCCACCACACAAGGAAAAGTACCACCAGTGGCCTTGGTGTAGCAGCAGGGTGACGCCTGTGCATTAGGCCCACATTTCCATTTAGTCAGTCAGTGTGGTATGCTTTAATCTTTCTGAGCCTTGATTTCTCAAAAGTCTGTTCCAGCTCTAAAACTATGTAATTCCTGTTCAACATATAAAGAACATGCTGTGCGGGATTCCTTGAGAGCATCAAAGTTAGTGTTAATACTGGTCAAGTGGGACTCTGTCTTTAGGAAGAGCCTGGCTAACAAGACCATTGTCTATCATATAAACAGCAATATTGGTTAGGCTGACTCAAGAAATACAATTATTGACAGATATGCTATTAACATGGGTTATTAGCTAAGTAATCATACAATTATAAACATTAATTTACTTATTGGGGTGTGTGGTAATTAAACATATGTATGTGGGTGCACACATCTATGTATGTGCATGTAGGGGTCAGAGGTCGAGGCTAGGTGTCTCCCTCTATCTTATTTTCGGAGACTGTCTCTCACTGGACCTGGAATTCACTGACTGCTAACTAGACTGGAGCAAGCCTCCGGGATCCACACATTTCCACCTCCAGGCACTAGGATTACAGGCCAACACTGCCATGATCTGCTCGTTATGTGATAGGAACTCATGCCTTGCACAGCAAAGCACTTACTGAGCCATCTCGCAAGGCCTGTTTTAAAGATTTATTTTTATTATGTTTTAAATTGCATGTGTGTGCTTCTGCATGTGAATGCAAGTGCTCATGGAAGCAAGCAGTGTAGGAGGCCCCTGGACTTCCAGTTCCGCACAAGTGCAGGCCACCTGACCGGGGATGGGGGGGGAGTGGGGTGGTGGTGGTGATGGGTGTGTGTGTGTGTGTGCTGGAAAATGAACCTGCATCCTCTCTGAGTGCACGCCCCTAACTGCTGAGTCAATGCTCCAGGCCCGCCTAGCCTCATTTTAAAAGAATATAAATATAGTTCAGTTAAACTTCACTTAAATCATCATTCAGAGGTTGTAGGATAATTTTGATGCTTCACACAGTAAGATAGGAAGTGATTCTATTGAAGTGGTGAGAGACACTGCTAACAGAAGAAGCTTCAACTGGACCAGCCTCCAACAGACACGTGCTATGTTACAGGTTCAGAAATATTCAACCATGTTTCCTCAGACACATAATCCAAAGCTGTCCTTCCTCATGCTATTCTGCAACTTACAAACCAAAGCTACTCCTAAGGAAACACACATGGAAAGACACTAAGGAAAATCTTACACGATCAAACCATGTGCTTAGTCAAGTTTAAATAAAATCCACAAAAAAAGCACAAAAAGTACCTGTGAGATTTAATAACTATGCTACCGAGTACTATATACTGTATAATTACAATTTTGAAACACAAAGAAAAAGGCTAACATGTATCTCTAGAGGTTACAGGTAACACTTTCTTTATATTTTAAAAACATATCCTCAGATTTCTCCAATACTTTCCAACCAATAAAAATAAATACTTTAGGGTCAGCAACAAACCTGGTAACCTGATTTCAATTTCTGGAATCCACATAAAGGTAATGAGAACCAACTCCATAAAGTTGTCCTCTGATCTCCATGGTGCTATGGTATGTGCCCCACCCCAATACATCATATATAGCAATAATAAATACAATTTTATAGCTTTTAAATATGTATTTTAAATAAGAATATAAGTTTAACTATTTGGGAACTTGTTTGAAGGTTCTAGCAGAGGAGTGCAGCTACTCATATGTCCTTGAACAAAGACCCATCTTCCTTTACTCATGGGGAGGCTGCTGCCCACCATGCAGGGCCAAGCATGTAGTTAGTTTGGGGGGGAGCACCTGGAGCCATGAGAGAGCCAACCAGAGCAGTCAAATCAACCATGATGACCAATGGGGTGTCAGATGTCCCAGTCAGAGTGCCCTCACATCCATAACTATCTGAATTATGTTTTAGTCTCTAATTCCTAAGACTTTTAAGATTTATTCCTGTCTTAGTTGGGAATTGGGGACATAGTTCATTAGTGCAGTGACTGTTATACTTGTTCAGCAACAGACTTCGGCTCAAAAATAAGATACATAGTAATAGAGGAAGAGACCTAAAACTGACCTCTGATCTCTGGCCTAGACCCCCCCCCACACACACAGGAACACACACAACACAAATCAATAATTAAAAATTGTATTACTAATAGTATCATATGTA